AAACTAATAAATATAAGCCGTGTTTGAGCTCAAAGAAATACAAGAAAAATTAATTAAAATACATTTTGTAATAGTAAAAGTTTTTGTTTACAGCCTTAAAAATAAGATTTTGCAGTTAAAATAATTTTTTTTACAAACCAAAATTTTTTAATGAAATTTTGAAAATTAAGTTTTTTTTTTTCGTAATATAATTTTTAGTAATGCACACAATTTTGTAATTTATTTATTTTTTAATTTTTATGATTGAATTTTTATCCATATTTATATATCATATGGTAATAAATAATGTCTTTGAATTAAAAAAAATGAACTTTTTTATACATGTTTTATGCTTTTTTAGAAATGGGGTCTGATAGACCCCCACGCGACTATGAACGTTAAAAATAGACATGCGTCTGCTAAAGGGTTAATACATTTTTTTTATTCAGTTTATATAATTTCATGGGCATAAATTAATAAAAAAGAATCAAAAATAATATTTTTTTAATAAATTAAGAGAAAAATTTGACGAATTTAAAAAGAAAATTATAAAAAAAATACTACAAACTACTATTAGGTTTACTATAATTATGGGTTGGCTTTTATTAATCATTTTCTTAACCCAGTCGTGTATCCTTAAAACTTAGTAATAGAATAAGTAGCTATTTACTTAACAATAAAATAAATATTGTTAAGAGTTAAAATTTAGTCTTTAAAACTCTTGCAATATCAATTGAATGCTTACATCGCTAAAATGCACGTGTGGCGAATCAACTGATGGATGACAAATAAAATGTAAGTTCTTGTTTAACAGGTTTTATTGAAATGTATCCAATGATACTGTTAGCTTAAAATACTTATCGTTGTTAGCAGAAAAACAAATATGTCCTAACAAGTAGACAACCTTTTGGAAAACAGGTGTTTTCATAATGGATTACTTTACAAAAGACATTGTTTCATAAAATAGGAGTATTACTATTTCTCGACTATCATTAAGCATTCTTATATAATATGTACAGCTATTCTAGTAATTTTATATGAAAATATCGTTTTATGAATCTTGTACATTATAGGGCTCTTAATTTATTTTTTATTTGTAAACTTATTTTAATGTAATAATTTATTAACAAACATAAAATACACATTGGATTGCATACATTTCTATAAATTGAAATCAATAATTTTAGGAAAATTTTGAGGAGTAGAACATTTAAAATAGGCCAAAAATTTAAGATAAATACGTTTTTGCTATGAAATTTATTAAATAAAATTACAGTTTACTTGAATCTTTATTGCACTACAAAAAACAAGGAATTATTATAGATTTAGTTGGAATGTTTTTTCTTAGAGTATTGTTCGTTCATTTATATTATTGTTGATGCTTTTCTTTTAAATTATTCTAAAAAAAATACAATTTTTAATAAAAAATTACAATTGTATAAAATTGAAGGGGAAGGGCTCACTCCTTCTATTTATTCTATTATTAGGTCACTGATTTTTCAAGTAAATTAGATCTGAAAAACTTGCAATGTTGTTTTACTTAACAATATTTTTTCTTAAAATTTAAAATAATTTTTTAACTTTTTAAATTTAAACTTTTAACTATGGATTACTTGAAAATTACATTAAATATGTTATAATAATAATAAAATCCATTTTAAACTTTAAAATATCAAAAGAATAATGTTGAAATAGAAAGTAATAGTAGTATAGCTTTAAATAGTATTAGGTTACTTTAAATAAAATCTATTTTGTATCAAAATTATTCGTAGTAAAATATTACATTTTTATTCAAAGTTTATGACGGAAAATATGATTTTTTTATACTCAAAATGTCATTCCCATTCAAACGAAATTTGTTCATTTCATATTGTACTTGAATAACTTTATTAATGTACAGTGTGGTCCTTCATGTTCTAACAAAAACTATAAATTTGTATTCTATATTGTGACTATTCTACAATATATATATAATTTTTATCTTCCCTACCGATCGGTTTACTAGATTACTAGATAGATAATAATAATATTACTCTTTATGTTTTCTATTTTAATTAAGTTCTCCTTCAAATAAGTTTTCATGGAAAAAATTTTCTCTACGACCAATATTTAGCATCAATAGATTGCAATATCATGTATTCTTTTATTTTTTTAAATAAAAAATACCTATATTTGACAGATATTTATTTATATATTATATGTAATAAACATAAAGATAAAATTTCAAATTTTCTTACACTTTAAAATAATTAAGATTTTTAATGACAAATCAAAGACAAAGAAATGTTGCTTGTGATTATAAGCAACATTTCTTACATTACTCTACAAAANTTGATAAGAAATGTTGCTTGTGATTATAAGCAACATTTCTTACATTACTCTACAAAATTGCTATCTTAAAATTTGTATAAATTAATATCGTTTAAATAAATTTAAAATTTAACTAATTTATCTAAAATTGTAAAAATGTTTAAAAAAAAAGTACTCCAAAATAATCATTGAATCAAATGTTTTAGGATATGTCAAAACATTCGGGACCACTCTGTATGTTGTCACTATATAGTAACATTTATGTCACATGAATTAATTACAAATTTAATTACAATTTAATCTGATTTTGTTATGTACGTTTTACATAATATGACACATAAGTAATAACAGTTCAATTTAAACAGTCTCTTTTGTGTATCAAAAAGGTTAATAAATTTTACTCTCATATGAACATCTACTAGAAATTAGAGTCTTAGTAACAAAATCAGCAAAAAGCGTTTTATTTCCAAAAGTAAGCAACATTTTCGAAAAATAATCCTTACATATGGCTTCTAAATTGATTAGTAAATTGTAATTTATTATAATATAACTAGAGAGGTGTTTGTACTAGTCTACAAATTTTAATTTATAAATATCACACAGTATTCAAATAAAATCTTACTAGAATTTAAAAGCCAATATTTTTAAGCCACTATTTTATAAAATAAACAAATATAATCGATTTATTTATTCAAATTGTAAATTATTGTAAACATATTATATATATGTATATTTTTTTTTATTATAATTTTACCAATAAAAATGATCTATTTCGGGATAGCGATCAATTTATCAATAAAATTTAATAATTATTTTCAATAATTAATATATTTAAGGGATCGATTAAATCGGATTTCTATATTTTATATTACTATACATTAAACTTAAGACTTCCTAACATCAATTTAAGTTTTTAATACCACCCTCTATTAACCATTTATCTTATGGAAAGTAATGATCAACAATAACAAAATTTAGTATACTAATAGAAGTTTACTCAGGTCTCACTAAGAGATACTTAAAATGTAGTCATTAAATAGTCTAAAACTATTGTAAAATCCACAATTAATACTACTTTATTAGAATTTATTTTAATATTTATTTAAATTTTATAGATAAATTAAATAAAATATCAAAAGTAGTGCTTTTATAACTTTGTTATGGAGATTATTATTATTTTTTTTTTTTTTGACATAATACATAATAATTTGTTTATATTAGTATAATAATATCTTTTGTTTAGTTAATTGGATATTTTGTTGTTTTCATTGGTTTAATAATAAATATGATCAATTTATTTCCGTAAACTCTTACAATAATTTCTTCGTCGTTCTTTAAATATTTTGAATGATTTAAATTTTAAGCATAAAAATCAAGTTTCATTAATGATTTTCGTTTTATCATAATGTTATATATTTTTCATCCTTTCTTCGATTGTCAATATCACACCACCCAGAAAAACGTTACTGACAGTTGATAAATAATGGTTGTATCATAATATTATTTATATGCCTTTTCCCTGGAAAATATAATAGCTAGAAATATTCAATTTTATAATGGAGTACACGCTAAGGAATTAAAAAGATAACATTGCTCTTTTTGTACTTCACATATAAAACATATAGCTTATGATAAAATTTAAAAGAAATTATATTTATTTAATTAAAGACTTACCCGAGTTTCATAAACGTAATGATATTTTTTCCATCATTGTATCTATTAATATATTGAAACGAATTATTACAATTTTTTAGTAGTATTATCGATGTTTGCTTTTATTTTTAATAACTTCTAATATTATTAATTTTCTTAAATAAATTTCTAATCACCTAAAATGAACAAAGGTTAGCCGTATTTATGGCCATAGCTTTCAAAATATTAAAGAATTTAAAAACTATTTTATTAATACAACCAAATTAATCAAAAAGTTTTGACATTATACTTAAAAATTTAAATTGCAACATAAATTAATAAAATATTTTGATCGTTTAATTTGCTCACAATATAGTGTTTGTGTTTACTTTAATCTGAAAAAAAAAATGTATTTGTGTGGAAATCATTGTATACCTTTATGCTTATAGCAATTTCTGGTTAGTAGGAAAAACTTTTGAGAAAATTTAAATTGAGTTTGAAGTAGATGAGATACTTTTATTTGTAAATGTAATTTTGAAGTAGTGTAATGTTTTCCTAAAACATTATTTCATTTTATTAGATTGGAAACCAATGCCGTAAAAATAAACGCTATTTCGGGGTTTCAAAGAAACGAATCCAATTCAAAATATTTTGTGCTACCATCATCTATTCAAACCACGTTACATAATAAACGTTCGATTCATTGTCATCTCTTCAGTTGCATAACGCTCGATTTACCACAACATTAATAGGTACTGAAGTACAAAATATTAACAAAACTCTGTAAATATTTATAGAACGACTTAAAGTTATTTATTATAATTCAAAGCTCATTTCGTGTTCTGTACAAATTAATTTTTGTTACTGCAGCATTATATTCGTGCTATTGTTATCTTTAGACCAAGAAATGTTATTGAGAGAAATACATTTTTTCCTCAATAATGTATTTTACTTTTGGGAACTAAACAAGACAAAACATACAACTCTTGTTTTTTTTAATACCCCGCTTTAAATAAAACATTTATACAATATATCTATCATATTACGGGAAATAAAAATCCATACCACTACGGTTATACCTAATAAGTCCGGTCCGGAAAAAGACTATTCTTAAGTTTGAAGTATGCAGTAACCAACCAAGAAACAAATACGTATATAAGAGGTTTGAAGCACTTACGTGAGGTGACGTAGTCGGTCATTAAAAAAAATCTCTGTTCACTGAAATCATTTGAAAAATAACGCGGTAGTTCGCGTTTAACCCATGGTCAAACAATGAGGGATGTCGAAAAAAAAGATTTTTCTAAAACTGTTTTCTATTTAAAAACACTCGCGGCGCTTGTAGAAGAGTTTTTTAGATAAAACAACGAACGAGACCCGTACAATATCCTACGATGTAAACTGCTCGGTAGACGGAACACGTGTGGAAAAATAACCCTACGCGGAGTCGCTTTTGCCCCGCGTTTTCATGGAACTTACGCCAATCGCGCTCACCGCGGCAGCCGTTTCCATTAATCGGCTGACACGCACACTCGTAACCCGTAGTCGGCTGTAACGTAAATGCTATCACTTTCCACCACACACACGCACCACCGAACCATTGCATTATTGCCAATAATAATAACAACGCCAGGCGGGTAAGTGAAATTTCACCAGCTCATTGATAATGCATAAAAAGACGTAGCCGCCTGTCAGTTAAAATTGTTTACATGTCCTACGAAAACAAAACGCTGCGCTTTTTTTGGTCATAATAATTTATGGCTACGGTTATATGTTTCACATTAAATACAAATGGGTTTTCCCGTGACTAACATTAAAATTATATTTGTAGAAAACCTGTACAACATTTTACTGGATTTTAATGCATCAGCCCCAATGTTGCTGCGCCATTAATTTGACTGATGTCAAAATAATTTTTAATGACCTCTTTTTTTGGCTAATCGAATATTTTTGCAATGATTTTACACCTAAAATAACATTATCGACACGAGGGATTTAATCCTATTAGTTTGTCCCTGATAAATAAGTGCTCCGAATAATTAATAATTACATTATAAGTAAAATGAAAATATGTGCTACTAAAGTACAAAAAATAGTGTTTTTGAAATTTTTCAAGAAGAAAAGGGAAAACATTTTAAATAAGAAAAAAGTTTAACTTTACTTTATGAATTTTTAAAAAATATTTACAAAAGTATTTTTGAATTTAAAAATTTTACCTAAAATACTTTAGATATTCAAATAAAATTATGAATTAGTTTACAAGACATAATTTAAATTTTTTATAATGAAAATGGTTTTTAAATCTTATGGAAAATACTTTTAAATGATATACTTTTATTTCTCCCTTAATTTTAAATCTTCGTAGATTTAAAAAAATCTTAAGACTTTTCAAGTAGACTTTGTGTCGGCCTGCAATAAAAACATGGTTTTCCCTTTTGCATCACGACTAGCTATGGTAGAAAGGGTCACCACTAATTAAGCTAGGTATCACACCTATCATTTGTGATTACCGAACCAAAGATAGAATTCAATTTATAATCAATATGTCGTTAAATTTAAATGTTTTTAACGCTATCTGGTTTATAAATCAAAAATATAATAATTGAAGTTTTATGTGATTCATATGTAAAACATACTGTAGCCTGTGTCTATATTAAAGAATAGGTATGAAACACAACCAAGTATTTTCTAGTAAGTACTAGCTACTCGCACAATAAAAATAAATATTACAATTAAAATTTATAAGAAATTTTATTTGTTTAAAAAAAATTATGTGAAATTTGGACAAAAATACGAAGAAAGATGAAATACTCTCCACACATATATAAATTTATATTGATATATAATAAAATTGTTATCAGTTTTACATCCTCATATTTCTCTTTTAAAATACGTATTAATTAGTCGATTAATGAACATAAGAAATATTAAGTTGATTAATTAAAGAGTATAGTGGGCCTAGGTTTCATTGTGTGCACTTTTCACCTCAAGAACAATGAAGCAAATCGGAACCTTCAAGTTACCTGGGAAGGAGAATTACTTACACACTGCAAAACACCAACATATCTAGGACACTAATATTTAAATCTCACTGTGAGAAAATTGCCAAAAAGATAAATACCCAAAACGACTTGATCCGCAAGTTGACTGGATAAACCTGGGGTGCTCAATCGCACGTACTACGAGTGTCAGCCTTGGAATTATGCTTTTCCGTGGAGGAGTATGCATGTCCTGTTTGGGGACGGTCAACTCATACGGGAAAAATGGACGTGGCATTAAACAACAGTTGCCGCATTATAACAGGATGCCTTAAAAATACACCGATGGAAAAAGAATACTTATTAGCAGGTAATGCACCTCCCAACATACGTAGACATGTAGTACGAACCTAGAAAAATGTAACCAAATAAATCATAAGAGACACCCAATGTTTGGATCAGACATGCCCATTTTTCGCCTTAAGTCAAGGAAAAGCTTCCTAAGGGTTTCAGAGATCCTAACAGAAGACCCATCATCGAGAAGAATAACCCTGTAGAGAGATCAAATCGCAGATACTAGTTGGGGAATGGAGCCAGCCGAACAGCTACCACCAGGTCATCAGTTACGATGGCAGACATTGAGAACCCTTAACAGAATGAGAGTAGGCGTAGGTAGATCAAAAGATAACATATCTAGATGGGGTTACCTTAACGACTCTGACACAAAATGCAGATGTGGCCAAGAACAGACAATGGCACACCTATTAGTATGTCCAAGAAACCCCAACTCATGCACGGAAGATGACCTAATGCAAGCAAATGAAAAAGCGGTGGAAGTCGCTCGTTTTTGGACAGTGAAAGGAATATAACTAATGTTTACTTTTTATATTTTATTTTATTTATGTTTGTATTTATTATTTATAAATAGATATATATATTTTTTAACACTATGATTTATATTTTATTAGTGTTAAGTGGCCTGTGACACGAAAAAAAATTAAGTTGATGTAAAATCTAAATATCTCCGTTAAGCTAAAAAGCTTAACATAACTTTAACTAATTAACTCGTTTATGATCTTCTTTGATTATAATATAATGTATAAAAAATACAAATAGGATTTTAAAATATAAGATTTGTTTATTAAAAAGATAAATATTTCCATACACACTTTAAAATAAACGAGAAAGGGAGATAAAAATATTAATTTTACTTATCAGTTCTGTTACACTTTGCTCTTGTTGATAATTTTAATGTAATACAAATATGGAGTACAAAAATAAAATATAAAGTATACAGAGTGATTCTAATGCATTAATCCTAAATTATTTAATATACAGAGTACTGTATGTTAAACTTGATACAAATCCTTTGATCCATTTTTTTAACAAAGAAAATCGCCAAACTAATAAAAACACGACTAACCTTAGAAATTACCATTGACAAAGTAAACAATTAATTTAACTGAAAATTTTATCATACTTTGAGACAAAAAATTGGACATTTGAAACACGCGAAATTTAAAAATTCCCGTTATTTTCTGAACACATCTCGTGTGATGAAAATACGATAAACAGTATTTTGTTATAATTATTTGAAAAAAATTAAATATCAATACATCAATATACTACCACCTCTAATCGGTATGAACTACCAGATACTTTTGAATAATTCTGGAAATATACCTAAAATAAAAAATTGTCATTATTATTTGTCGTTTTTGACTAGGCTTCACTGTATATATAAATTTACATAGTATATTCATTTAAAAAATTCTATATATAAAACTAATACGAATAATTCATTAGCATCACCCTGTATGTTAAATAATTCAGGGTTATCAGATTTGAATCACTCTGTATACTATATATTATATTGTAAATTATTAGAATCACTCTGTACGCTAATGATTTCAGAGTTCACGCAATAGAGTCATTCTGTATACTTATTATATTATATTGTTTATTCATTTGAATCACTATGAATACTATATATTTTATTGATAGTTGATTTGAATCAAAATGATCAGAGTACACATGTAATAAGACTGCACCTAGTGCAAATTAAGAACAGTCTACTATTAGTTTAAGTGGTAATTTTTGATAAAAATGTACTAATGTGGATCTTGAAATTTGTTAAATTTTTTATATACATTGTCACAATTTGGTAACCAGTGCCATTTGATACCATTGCGTGGAAGCGTATATAATGGTTTTAATATTTCAGCTGCATTTGAAATAAATTCCATGTAATGCGTTACTAAACCTAAAAACAATTTTAATGTAGATTTGTTTTCTGGAACGACCGCGATTCGGATTGCATCAATGTGTTTTGTTAACGTGTGTAAACCTTTTTCATCTATTCTAAGACTCAGATATTCAATTGATTTTTGTAAAAACTTACATTTCTTTAACTTTAGCCTCAAATCGCAATTATGCAAAACATTCAATAATTTACCTATTTTATGTTGTGTTCTTGAATTGTACACCTGCCACTATTATGTCATCTTGAAATACCCCAATATCGTTAATTTCTACTGTGGAAATTTCCATAGATTTTTGGAATTCACTCACTGACTATTTTATTCCAAACAGACTTTTAGTTTAACTGAAAAGACCTTTGTGTATATTTATTGTGGTATATTTACGATCCGATTCTTTAATAACTATTTGTTGGTAAGCGTCTTTGAGATTTATTTTCGAAAAATATTTGGAGCCATTTATATTTGCATATAAGTGTTCAATTTTGAGCAGGGGATTTTTTGTATCTTTTAACACTAAATTAATCGTAATTTTAAAATCATCACAGATTCTAACTGTACTGTCGGATTTTAGTATTGGAATTATTGGTGTGGCCCATTCACTATAATTAAGCGGAACTAGTATTTTGCTTTCACCTAAACGATCGATTTTTGTTTCTACTTTATTTTTTAGAGCTAGTGAAATTGATTTTGGTTTAACAAATTTTGGAAACGAATCTTTTTTTATATTGAGTGAAATTTCATATTTGTTAAAAGTGCCTGTTTCGTCCTTAAATAGATTTTCGTAAGAGTTTAGTATATCACGCAGATAATTATCTTTTTCCACATTATTATAAATGGGTGAATAATTTTGTTTCAGTCGTTTTTGCCTATTATTGGAGGCCCACCCTTTTCTATCAAGTATATGCACTATTATGTTTTAAATTCTTTTTCTAAATATTTTGTATTTATTTCTATTTTACCTATTGGATTTATGTTGTTTCCGACATAATCAGAGAGAGAAATGTCATTGTCTAACATTGTGATATTATTGAAAAGAGTAGAATACATTTTATTTGAAATTATGTAAGTATTCTGTGTCTATTTCAAACTTAATATCTATATTCTCTATCAATAAATTAGTAAATGGTTTAATTCTATTTTGAAAATCAGTTTCTCTTATTGTTTCATTAGAATTTTCAATTAATAATTCAGTGTATGAATGGATATCATAATTTTGCTTAAAACTCTTACCATTTTTGCACATAGGAGCCAAATGGCCTTTTGAATTGCATATGTTGCAGCTGTAATCCTTATATCGACAGTTTATTTGTAAATGGTTTGAGCCGGCACATACTTCACACTTTGGCTTATCCGATGGCTGTCCTGTTTATTTTGATGAAGTTGCTTTTGATAGTCGAGTTCCGATTCATGCTGTTTCCAAATATTTATTTCTCTCGTGGTAGCTTCCTTAGTAGTCACTATGTTCATTAAATTCGCATACGTGGATTTTAGATCAGATGCGTCTTCTTCTATTAGCCGGTCTTGTATTCTTCCAGGACTCATTCCCACTACGAATGTATCTCGTATAACAGAGGTTAATTCTGACGAAGATTTGCATTTCGATCCAAGATTTTTGATATCATAAGATAATTTAAAAAAATCAAAATTTAACAAACTTCAAAATTCTATATAAACGTAACTACTGAATTAAAATAAGAGTTTTTGGTATCATAATTTTTCTTTAAAACTTATCTATAAAATGACTATCTTCAAATCTTAAAAAAATTTTAATAAAAAAAATAATTTTCAAAATATTTTTTTTAATTGCAAAAAATAACATAAAACATATTTTAAATATAGTTCTATATTGTAAAAACTGATTTTAAAAAAAAGTATAAAATGTTATGTAGATCGTAAGTTATATGAGTTGTCAATTAGATCTGTTCCACTCTGTATATTGTAAATTCATTGGAATCACTCTATATCTTAAGATGACAAATAGTTCTGGCATTTTAATAATGAACAATATACAGTGAAATTTAATTGCCATTGACATATAGAGACTGTTATTTTGATTAATGACTATGTAAATTATAAAGGTATTATAAAAGACTACTATCCACATTGCAATACAAAACGTATGGATAATATATCAACATTCTTCATACAATTTTACATTTTTATTTATATCGCTATTAAAGCCCATTAAATTTCATGGACTTCTCCCTAATGAAGTAGGTTTCTTAACCATTGACATTTCGGGACGGTTGGATAGTCTGCCACCCGTGAGAGGGATGGAAACTACAATTACCGAATTAATCTCTTGTTCGACAAATGAAGTTTTCCGTGAGCAAGGTTTCGAACCCGAGACAGTTGACATCAAGCACCTCCATGTTACAGACACGGTTACACCGTTTTTATTATTTAGATTACAAACATTATATTACTATTTTTACTATACGATTAAATTATTTTTATTAGATTTTAATTAACAAATTAAATGACATGATAGTGTAAATATATAACTATTTGATATATATTTTTTTGAATGATTAAAAATATATTAATGTAATTTTGTATAAAAACATATATTAATTATATAAAAGAAGCAGGAAATAATAATAATAATTAATATGTAATAGTAATGTACTACTGGAGGCAAAAAATAGTGAGACTTTGTTCATAATTTTAAAATTCTTTATTTATTCTTTCAAATCTATTTCGCCCCCCTCAAATTTATCCCCCCCGGACCCAATACACTTATGCCAACGTTTTTTCCAATCCTCAAAACAATTGTTAAAGTCAATTTCCGGAATAGACTTCAATGCGCGTAGTGATTCACGTTTAATGTCTTCAATTGACTCAAAAGTTTCCCCAGAGCGGTCGTTTCAGTTTTCTGAACAGCCAGAAGTCACATGGAGCTAAATCAGGTGAATATGGTGGTTGCGGAACGATATTGGTTGAATTTTGGCGAAAAACTCACGAAGAATCAGTGCAGTATGCAACGGTGTATTGTCGTGGTGCCAAAACCAAGAGTTGTCGGCCCATAATTCCGGCCTCTTTTTACGAATAGCTTCGTGCAAATGACAAATAACACTTAAATAGTATTCCTTGTTGACAGTTTGGCCGGTCGGAAGAAATTCGGAGTACACCATACCTTGATAATCGAAAAAAACTGTCAACATGACTTTGATTTTTGATCTGCTTTGACGTGGTTTTTTCGGCTTTGGCTCACCTTTGGCACGATATTCGGCCGATTGATTATCTGTTTCCGGGTCGTAAGCATAGATCCAAAACTTATCGCCAGTAATAATACGTTTCATGACATCCTGGTAGTCAGAAAGCATTGTTTTACAGTCGTTAAAGCGACGCTGTTTTTCTATAAAATTGAATGATTTTGGAACCAATCGTGCTTTCACTTTTCTTAGGCCCAAATGATCTTTCAAAATGGTTTTCACTGATCCTTCCGATATTCCAACGATGCCAATAAGGTCTCTGACTGTTAATCGTCAATTTTCGAGCACCAATTCCTTGATTTTATTGACGTGTTGATCATCAGTTGATGTTGATGGCTATCCTGGACGTGGTTCGTCGTCAACGCGTTCTCGACCCTCTTTGAAAAATTTTTACCTATTAAAAACACTTGATCGCGACGTACAATTATCACATTTTGAACGTTTCAGCACCAGAAATTTGATTCCGCACACAAAATTGAATGGAACTTCTTTGTTGAATAATTTCACTCATTGTAAAATTCACCGAATGCACTTGTTGTACCTCAGAAAGATAAGCGTATACTAATCACTAATGATTATTATAATGTGACATTTGGTACAGATGTCACTAACAGTCATATCAAACTAGAAAAAAAATATTTCGACGAATGGGTTTCCGCACGAAATTTAAATTAAAAAGTCTAACTACTATTTGCCCACAGTAGTATCATACATCAGGTAATTAATAATGTAAAAAATATTATGGAAGAAACAGTTGAATATTATGTAATATAGATCTTTATTGACAACAAGTGTCAGTGATAAATATCGATCTTGCCTTTGCAAATATCGATCGTGATCTCAGAGGACAACCAGTTAGGGAAAACCCAATTTCATATAGTTTTCGCAATATAATTCGTCTACTTACATATTTTAAAAGATCAAATGTTCCATTTAGATTTATAAGTCTATGGTAGTTTAACACTTAATATATATTTGACAATTTTATACGCAAAATAAATATGAGGTGTATTCGGAAAAAAACGGAAATTAGTTTTTTGAAAAACATTTTTAGTTATTCTTCTATATTAATATTGTCGCCTTCAAAAAGTATTCTTCTCATTTACTTTCAATTACGATCAGTCCAATCTAAAAAAACTCTTCGTCTTGAACTCATTAAAATGCGCACAAAAAGTTATCAGCTGTGTCCAAATTGTAATTTTATAAAAAAAAAAGAACGTTTATTTATTTAAAAGTATCCACTGGAAGATGTTTCCAGTGAATTGATGTCATGTAGGAAAATAATAATTTCAACAAATTTTATAAGATTTAGAATTAAATTTTATGATTAGTTTAAAAAGGGAAATAAAAATCAATTGATTATCAATAATAAAAAAATATACTAGGTAAATTTAAAAAATAGTTGTCATGGTAAATCAATAATACGCCTCTCTTTCAGAAGTCAATTAGGAGGTTCATATATAGTCACCATACTACTCTGGCTAGACAAACGAGGTAACTCAAATCTACCTCTTATTGGTAATCGTCAATACTCGTGGCATCGTTGATATTAAAGAGTGTGGTATTTGATCACAAACTATAATTATTTATTATAATATATTAATATTAAAAATAAAACAATTATGTCATAATTATTTGTTTTTAATAGTTTATAAGTAACAAAAATAATTTTGATAAAAAAAAACGGAAATTTTCAAGATTTGAGTCCAAGTATTCTTGCTTTGCTTAAAAAGTCACTCATAGATACATAACATCCACAAAAATATCGTCTACCAGTAAATTCTGTTCGACCATGAAATACTCTCCAATTATTGACAAATATGATTGTTCCAGAAAGTAAAGTTTGTTTCCAGTACAAGTCCTTTCGTTTTAAGATTTCAACAAAGTGTGCGTAACTCTCATAAAACTCTTGACTTCGTGTTGGTGGTTTTGGGCTCCGATCATAAATGTTAAATCTAAGTAATAATAAACAATATTATTACAAAACAATATTATCTCATAGTTATAACAAGGTTAGAAAATAAAGTTTTTTTTTAATTTTAAACAAAACGTAAGTTATTATTGTTTTATATTTTGTCTTCGTTTCAATCAAAATATAATTATCAGTTTTTTAATTGTATAATGAGAATTAATCACTCGTGGAAAATATTATTTTAAAAATAAAAAATATTTAACTCAAAAAGCCACAAAAACTCTAAAATTTACGTATTTTATAGTTTCCGAAATACGTTTACGTGATTTTTTTAGTATGTTTTGTGGCTTTTTGTGATAAATATTTTATATCTTAGTTTTAAACTATTATTTTAAATGTTTTGAATTTCATAATAGTGTTTAAAACATCTTTTAACTCAAATAAACAATATATCATTTTAATTAATTTGATTGATCTTAATTGAAAATATTTAATGAAGAACTTAAATACTATTGATACGTTATCTCTGTACCCTCAGCAATAGTGCTATTTTTCCACATCTAAAAGTATTTATAAAATAGAACAAAATATTTCAACGAAGTCTATACAATTACTTAAATGTATCATAATCAAATAATAAGTAAGGAAAAATAAATAATTTGATATTTTTTAATTACCTGATTTGATATATCTCACCAGTTGTCTTATTAACTTTAATAACCGGTCCGGTACATTTATAATGCGCACCTGGCTCAATGTATTCTGATTCTATTTCAATTTCTGTCAAATTTTTAAAGTGTGTTGGGTTTTCTTGTTTCAATATTTCTGCTGCTTTAAAACCATCAACATATGTACTCTCACCACCTGTACCATTACTATCTCTTTCTAACATATGAAAAATTTGGAGTCTGTAATTAATATTATAAATCTTAAATAATTTATCTTTAATTTCGTTTAAAATGTTTTTATTAAGTAACTAAGTGAATAATTTACCCAGTACTCTCACTGAAATATGTGCTATCAGTATGAACAACCAGTGGACCACTTAAATATGCGGGATCTTCGTGTCCTTCTTTGTTTCCGACTGTCCACATTGCTGTTCCAAAAAGTGTTGATTGAGGACTTGCTAAACAGCGTACTACTTTTTCTGTAGCCTCAACCGTTGGCTGAACCTACACATAAATATAATGGAATTTAAATAAAATTATTTTTTATTCTTATACTTAAGTTATAATTTAAATTATATCAAGTTTAAGATGACAGTAATTCAGTTTCATTAAACAAACTAATATATATATGTATATTTCGAATATGATTTACATTTCTTGATTTGTTAGTTGAACGTGTAAAGTTGTAATATAAAACTTACATTTTGTTAGGAATTAATATTTTATTATTTGATTACAGTATAAATATAAATTCTAATATTACTGTATAACTTATTTTTATAATTAAAAATGTATTTAAAATATTAAAAATAAACATAAGTCAAAAAGCTATAAAAAATATTTAAAAAAAAAAAAAAATTAGCAGATAATTATTTGATAATGCTACCATTATTAATGCTGAACTTATACTGATACGCCGACTGAAAAATACTCCCTTATATACCCATAGAATCTTATCACCTAGTAACGTTATCACTTGAATATGTTATGATTTAATCGATTTTACTAATTTACAAAAGCTTAATGTTAAATTTTCAAGTGGACAAAGATCCCAATTAATTAAATTATTATTATTTTTAAATATTTCTATTTTCTTTCTTTCATTAAGTTTATTAAAATAATTTGCGTTTTTAATTAGTTTTAATGGAGGAATTATGTGTTAATAAATGTTTAGTTACAGGAGATTTATCAACTTCTTTATTTTTTTTTTATGTTTCTTTTTGTTTATTCTACGTAACATTCATTACGACTTTCATATCATACTTTTTTTAACTAATTATTTTGTATATTTTTTAATTTTAAATAATAATAGACATAAGTGATCAATTCTTATTATATAAATGTTTAAAATAAAAATATAATTTTTATCATTCCAATTATATGTTTAAATTAATTTGATACTTTCTAATTATTAAAATACTATACATATTTCAAATAACATAAATATTTCATATTTATAAATCTCTGTTTGACCGTTAATTATTTTTCATAAATATACTTATAACTCACATTGATTATAATTCCTACACCGTATTTGAGAATAGATTCTACTAACTCATGTTGACCTTCTGTTTGATTTACACGGTCAACAGATATTTTTGGAGGTAAACTTCCGAGTTCTTTACCAAAACAATAATGTGGCAAGATATTAGATTGATTGTTCGGTGTCCATATATCATAAATCCATTTAATATCATAGGTCGAATTATGTCCATCAGACCCTAATTATTTAAGAAACAAAATTAAAAATTTTATCTTTAACACAAATATTTAGCTGATATGAATGTTTACATTCGACTATAACTGTATTTTTGTCTTCTTTATAGCTTAAAATTTTGATTTTTGTAGTTGTTAGGAAATTATCGATTGTTGTTATTCGACTAGAATATAATGAGTTGTAACATTTTGGACACCTATTTCATAAGGTATATGTTAATTTATGCTTACTTTTTTTAAAGAAATAATTGTCAAAATTTGAATTTACCTGCAGCTGTCGCGTAACCATACAATATTTACGGAAAATTTTTTATTTTCAAACTTCAAATCCACCGACATTTCTTTTAAAACCAAATCTGTTTTTATAATAAATATAAAAATTTTATTAAATAATTATTACTCTTCAATATTTATTCAATAATTATTACTATACTCCTCTCATACAAATTTTTGATATTTTACATATTTTTTTTAATTACTATGATATTATTCACTAAAATATTACTTTTTGGTAATTATCAATACAAAATATATTTAAATAGTAAGATGCTATCAAAAAAGATATAATTAAGTGTTAATTAAAACATTTAGTGTATTCACTACGATTTACGGTTCAAAATTGGATGCTTGAGTGTCGATAGTATGAACGATATAAAATTTGATTAATATATATATTATTTATAGATAAAATAAACAGTGATCTGAAGTGGTATTATTGCAAACAAAATCTATAAAACTGTTTACAATTTTTAAAGTATATAATGCAAAAAAAAATTCTATTATATAATATACCCATATAAAAAACTAAAAACCAGCAATTACTATCTTATCTAATTACTCAATAAGACGAATTTTAATAATAAGAATACTCACTTTTAAAAAGCAACAATACTTTACATTTTAATGTGAAATATTTAATCAAAAATATTACAAAAACTAAAAAGCTTTAAAAATGTTAATTAATTAATAGCATGTATATATACCAACGATAAGATGTTACATATGTTTGTTAAAACTAGTTAATGTATAATAGTTTTATGCATCAAATACTCTAGTATAATATTATACCTTTAATTGTTAATTAATATCAAGATTCTCTTGAGTTTTGAAGAGTGTAAAGATTAATTAAACAATTCACGTACAATAAATTTTCGCTTTTAAAGAGACACGATAAAAAATAGTAGTTAATATTTCAAAAACTAATGCTTGAATGATTACCTAATAAAAATATGGAATTAAATCACATAAAACAGAGATTATTATAGGATTTTAAGAAACAGGTCACGTGATAGTTTTGTATGTGCATTATTTCTTCATTATATACAAAGTAATTCTTTTATCACCTTAGGTGCATCATTCAATGATATAAATTTTATTTAATTATTATAAATATTGTCAATAAGGTATTGGAATTTATAAAATTAAGCTTATACAATAATTTATTATAACTAGAGAACGGATTTATATGCATTTATACGTGTTGTTTGAAGCATTATAAAAGGATCCAAGTTTGCCTAAATTTGTTGTTGAAATATACATCAGAAAAATTCCTAATTTAAGGGTAGTAAACCCAACCAAACCTGATTCTTCCCTATAATATAACCCTATTTAAATTTTCAATTATATTAATACACATTTTACCGTCGAATGATATATTTGGAATAATTTAACAAAGTTTATAAATGTATATAAATCTGGCCTTATCTTATAACTAAAAATGTTTAAAATTAACCCGATTTCGATTACACTAGTATATAAAAAAAATTAACTCATTTTAATTCACAAAATATTTTAGTTTAACCATTTGTGAATATATTACAAAGAAACCAGCGCTTGGGGTTCGCGGCACAGTGGTGACGTAGCATAGATGGATCAAGTATAATGATATCTGACAGTGATTAAAATCACTATAAAAAAAAACGCTTCGATGCAAATCTTTAGATAGTGTTTAATTTTAAACAAATTTTTTATAAATGCTTGATGTCTTTACCTATCATTTGATATATTTTTTTCATAAATTTAACCTTTTATCTTCCCACAGGAGGGAATTTAAAATGACAACTTTTTCACAAAAAATTAACTGTTTCAACTTAACTTTTGAAAGTGTTCTGGAAGGTCTGATACTTATATATATATCTTAAATTAAAAATAATGTAATATACTTTATTATGAAAAAAAAAATTTGACCTCTGGACTTGTCTTCGTGTTGAAAATGGCTACCGATAGCTATTTACGGGGAACGAGAGAAATTTTTTCAATTTTTGAGGGTAATGTCTTCGACTAGATACGATTTGTGATCTTTTAACTTATCATTGAAAGAATGAAGAGAGCCGAGAAAAAGTGGTAACAAACAAAAAAAAAAATCACATCATAGTAAAACCAATACCTTCTCAGCTTCGCATCAAAGTTAAAAATTTAATAATTTCAATTTAAAATAATTATATTATAAAAACATTTATTAATATCAATAAGTAAGAAATAAAATTAAAGGTTTAAATTTACTGTCGAAATTGAAATCAACATTTATTTATATTATTAATTTATCAAATTAGCATAGAATATAAATTTTGAAATATCGCTAATCAATTAATGTAACCTTTATAAAATGTACAACATATTAAATTAACACAGAAATATATAAAAGAAAATATACACTGAGAAAAAAATTAATTTTAAATATTAACAGACTTAAGTTTTAAATTATTTAAAGAACTTTTGACCTGATTTAATGAGTTATAAAAAAAATAGACAATTAGTAATAGAATTACTTTTTAGTATCATACAATAGACAGGCACGTCGATTGAGTTAGTTATGTTTACACCGCGTTATGATCTTACTATATTCTAACGATGGGCACGAGCGATGTAGTGAATAGTGAGTGATACGTAAAAACAAATTAGGAACATTAAAAATAATTGTGAAAGAATCTCAGGACATTGATTGTATTATTAATACAGCCATACATCATTGAATGGTCTAAATTTTCAAATATCAAACCAAACCCTCTAAAAGATTTAAAAAAGACCAAACTGAAGTATTATATGAAAAAAAAATTAAACCGGACCAAACTAAACCAAATATAAATGTTAAACAGACTAAAGCAAAACCGGATTATTAAATAAAAAAAATTGTCCAAACCCAACCAGACTAAATAAAAATATTAAATCAAACAGAAACATTAATTAAAATAAATTTTGGGACACAGCCGAATCGTTACAAAAACAAAAAATTAAACCTGACTAGCCAGGATTAATTAAAATTCACTAAAACTTCACATATTATTAAAAAAAAATAACTCAATCGACAATAATTTCCAATGTAAATTGTCTACTAATAATTTAAAAATACAAACTTCTACTCCTGGTAACATTAGGATATTCGTGCATTTTTTCAAAAAGAAAACTACTGAATTTTATACGTTTGAACACAAAGAAAATAACCTCTAAGAATTGTTATTTGCAATATTCATCTTTCTACTGATTTAAATATAATTAAGTCTGAGCTAAGTGCTCTTGAGTTTGAATTAAGACAAGTAAGTAATGCCCTTAACAAAGCAATCTCTCCCTCTTTTTGTTTTTTTAACCTGAAGCCAACTGAAAAACCACAAGAGATTTTTCTAATTAACCTATTTATCATACTTTAAAATCCATATGGAAGATTCTTACAAACCTAACTATCCTTCTCGCTGCATATGATTTGGCGATTTTTATTTCTTGTCGGATTATACCAAAAAAATTGCCAGTTAAGTGTACAAGACAACTTGTTTTAGAAAAAAAAAGAGTTACATCATATTATCAATACACTCATCTACCATGCCATTTAGCCTTGTATAATAAATTAGTCCTTAAGAAACTTATCTCAAAGTATAACTCAAATATTATAATAATCCTCTATTGATAATTTTTGATTTTAAAATAAAAAAGCACCGCAGTTTAAAAAATTTTTATGTCCATCAAATAAACATGAAAATACTTTCTCTATAACATGTATCGATGTAGAGAAAATATTATTATTATAAAGCGTATTATTATTATTAAGAAGTGTTCAGATAACTCCTGAAAAATATTCGAACCTCCTCACTCTAATATAACTTATTATTCTGATATTTTAACATAAATGAATTTCTTAACTTTCCTTTTCCACTATATATCCCAGAAAAATATTTCACTCTATATGAAGTTAAATGCACTATCCAAAAATACTTAGTAGTATAATCACCTGGTTTTGACCTAATAATCATCGAAATTGCTAGATGTCTTCTAAAAAAGAACCTCACTTCTATATATTTAACGCAGTTTATTAACTTCCTATTTCCCTCCTCTAAAAATTTTCGATCATCATCCTTATTGCAAAACCTAAGAAACCTCTTGATACGCTTCCTTCTTATAGACCTATAATACTTTTTCAATTTTCACCAAAGTTTTAGAGAGGCTCATACAAAAACGTTTATTATCATCTATTGTAAAAAACAATATTTTCCAGGATTCATAATTTAGTTTCAGTTCTTTCCATAACACAATCCATTAAGTTCATAGACTTGTTGACTCCATTTTATTTTCCCTCGAGAAAACATTATACTATACCTGTACATTCCTTCCTATAAGTCAAGTCTTTGATTGGGTATGGTACAAATTCATGCTATACAAAGTAAAAAAAACTTTTTTCAACATTTTTCATAGTTTTCAGGAGAGGTCAAAACGTTTTTTTGATTGTTTTTACTTCTAAATAGTTATAACTTTTTTTTACGCATTTTTGACATTTTTGACAAGAGATATTTTTTTAATTTAGATGTTATATATACTGCCAAGTAATTTCCAATGAGTTCAGATTATAATTGAAGTAAAAAGAATACTTAAAATTAAATAAATTAAAGTATTGGTGTTTATGTTCCAATTTTGTATAGACAAATTTTGTCGATTTGTCGCTTAGAGCCTAAAGTTGCTTAGTTCTTTTTTCCTTGTAACAAAGTCCTTGACTTTGAATCAATATGTAATAGTTTTGTTACAAAAGATAAATTGATGAGATGCCAGTAGAGGATAGGTGGACTGTATAGATATAGAGTACTTAAAAACTACTAGAAATTAAAAATGAAATGCAATAACAGATACTATATATTTAAAATAACAAATAAATATAAAATATTATAGCATTGGGGACAAAGTTGCTCAAAAACTATTGTCACCACAAGGCGTAATAAGTTATAATAAATAATTAAATTAACAAATATGTACTTATCGATTATTGAAGACTTGCAGTTCTAACGGTACACTTTGAGCAGGTGGTAACAAATATAATAGACATGCAGATATGAATTGGTGAACACTCGTACAAACTTTTTTTAAATTTTTTATTGTATATTGTGTTGAATTATACAGCACGATATATACTATGCGCACTAAGGTATGGCCAATCACAAGGCAATTGAATATATGTACATGCGAAATGGAGGGCAATTTATCTATATTATGTACAAGGGCACACGCGAATCGTTAGGAAGATTGACTAAAAAAAAACTACTATGCGCTAAAGGGCAACGTACGAGATAACTTTGACAAGGGCCAAAATGAGGCAACAATGTACACACTATGACCGAAAGGACCTGTAATACGCTTTCGTACAGCAAACTCATACTGAGTTAGAATGTTCTACATGCAGTGATATGAGATGAGTAAGGTACTTGTACTCCCACTTTCTAACTACCGATGATGTTCCCAAATTAATACAATTATTAGCAACATGCTATTTAGTAACTACGTATCAAAAAACTGTAATGTATTATAATATTATTGTTAATTTTACAGAAAATTAACAACAATAGACAAAAGTCATTTTTTTTGTTTATAATTCTTATACCATTTATAAAAAGAATTTCGTATTTGACTATATCTGTTTTTTGAGATAATTACTGTATAGTAACTTAATGATAACTATACAGTAGTTAAGTGTTATTTATCAAATAAAAATAACTGAACTTTCGAGTATAGCTTTTTTTTGGTTTAACTTACAGTTATAAAACTTTAACCAACGAGTAGATATTATCATGTGGATTTAAAGTCTTTTAAAAATTTTTTAAATTTTAATCATTTTACAAACTCTTTTTAAAGTATCACTAAAGAATATTCTCAATAACAAGAATATTCTTGAGGATATTGTTCTACAGATTATTAAACGAATAATTAAAATGTTATGTATTAATTTGAAGAGATCAGTTTATTTACGGTAACCTATGTTACTCTAATTGTTTAATAATTAAAATCCTCCCGTGAAGGTATATTAGAGGTTTATTGTACAAATAAATGTTTTCACTTGCCTCTATTATCCTGGTAAGATAAATGTTTGGTTGTGATGCCTTTTGTAGTTAATGTCACTACATTAAGTTACATTACAATACTACGATAAATAGATTTACACCTTCTAGTTACTAGGCTATTTATTAAAATATTTACATTCCAATATATATTTGCAATTTCGTAAATGGTGTTGCTAACATGATAATATTTTTCTCTTTATGATATGTGGCCTACTTCTTTTCAATTACCCGAACCTACATTATATGTAACTGTACTATAGATTTTATGTACTCTAAATTTCGTTAGTGTCTTACACTTCAATTGTCTTTGCTAATCGCTAATCGAAAAAATGACTGAGATCAGACTGGCTAGTCGATAAAAGGATAAATACAATGGAGAATTCCAATGGTTAATCAAAACTTTTATTGTAATATTATTGTGCTACTATTCTTTTCAATAAACCTAACCTTATTGCTTTTTATAATGTGTAAAGTATATTATAAAAAATATAAATAAACCTAACCAGTATTTTTTACATGTTGTATTTATTGTATTACCAAAAGTATTTAACTGAAGATAAGATAGACTCAATAATTCCAAACTTCAATAACTAAAATACAATGTATATCGGCATAGATTTCATATTAAGTTGTAAACAAGAGTGAATTGTTTTGTTTTTTAAAAATATAGCCTTTTATATTTGTCTAAAATGGTTAAGCGATTTATGGTGAGAGCCTTGAAATATATTTTCTTGCATTAAATTGTGTGTTCAAAATTAGGTAGGAGCCCGAGCACCCCGTTGACAGCCATATTCAATTCAAAAATCAGATGAGCGATAAATAAAGGTCAAAAATATAGAATTTTTTAGATATTTTTACAATGGCTACCTTCATTATGAAATCCTACCAACGCCTCAGTGAAAGGGTAGTTAACTTTTGCGTAAAAATAGGTATTTTTTTATCTTATTATATTATATTGAATATATGTGTTAGTTAATACATATGTTAAAATGTGTTACTAAACAACTCAAGCACATTCATATGTTTATATATGTTCTATTCATATTATTGTGCCACGTCTAGTTATGAGAATTCTTCAAACACAAAATGGTTACGGGAACATCGGACAACCAAAAAATGTTTTCGAATATTTTTTGCCGATGATTTATGAGCAAGAAATGTTAGCATCAATATTTTAAGTCTAAAAATCTGGGAATCTATTCTACATCTTCTGCGAAAAATATCTGATCAAATTCACCACCCTTGTCGACACAATAGTAAAGAAAAAGCTATGGCGATTCTCAGTAACTCTTGAAATGACTTGTGTACAACGTCAGCATTTACATGCATATGGGTGATCTTCAAAAAGATTCGTCATATTAGAAAGTTAATCTTGTAATTTAAATGTTGAAAAAATATGTATTGCAATTTTTACACAATTTCACCCGAAAAAAATTGATTAAACTGTTAAATAATTCTAGTAAGATAGCCTTTATATATTAAATTGACCTTTAACAATAAACTTATTTCAGCTAACAAAAATTAAATTTTAGCTTGTTATACATGAATAATAGCCAACAAATTAAAAATATTAATATGATTCAACAATGTTAGAAATGATTAAAAACGCCATCTGTTTAATTTATTTGTGATAGCTTCATTTCATTATTGTTAAATTAAATAAATAAATAAATTCAATAATAATTTAAGTTACATTATGATTAATTTAATTTTAAAATAAATTTCATTTTGAATAGTATAAAATTATTTTAACTTTCTCGTTAATTTAGTACTAATAATTTGTATGGCAACGACTATGTTTAAGACTATACAATTTTTTTTTCTTAAAACTGCCATTACTTTTTAAAAATGAACGAAATAAAATAATTTCTTTTTATATCATTACCTCAGGAATTTCTTTTGGTATACATTTTTAGTAAATCTGACCCTTTACCAATCCATCAATGGTGATTCAAATTTCACTTAAAATTCTTTTTTTTAATTTGAAACATAAAAAAATTGATTATAATCAGGAGAAAATATGATTTTTAACTTTTAAATTTTTTTAAAGTTTTTCAATAATAAAATATACTCTGAAAAATTGAATATCTTGCTCAAGTATTATGAAATATATATCAATAAATTCCTAAAATCTCACAAATTTTAAATAACAAACTCGATTTTAATTCTTTTTACTACTAACGAAAAAATCATAGAAATTTTTGCCACAAATTTATTTTTTTCAGTCACATATTGAAATTATATTTTTAGTGAATTACCAAGTACTATAATAGGTTTTAAATGTCTTGAATAGTAGCGAACGTTAGTTTTTTTCTTTAATCAACTCCAATAAATCTTTTTTATTTTATTAGAAAGCATAAATCTTAAAACAGTTTCTTGGGAAATATAGTGTTTTTAATGGTACCAAAAAATTGTAGGCACACTACATTAACCGATAGATCAAATGAGTATTTAAATTTAATGTTTTTATTGAACTTAAACTATAAATTCAATTATAAACAATTGTAATAAATAGTACAAGTAAAATCAAGATTTTTCACTGGTAAAATGACCATATTATTTTGTATATTTTTTAGTGGACTGTATACAGAGTAAATTTAATAGACAACAGCTAGATAGAAAATTAACTGAAGACAAACTACTTTATTTCTATGATAACAAATAAATAATGTAATGACAATAACTAAATAAAACATGAATAATATAAATGATTTTCAAATTATTTTTGAGACAATTAATAAGTTAAAATTTCAAATTATAAGCAATAAGACCAATTCATTAAGGAATAACTTATAATCTTATAAATGAGTTCAACAGTAACATGCATAAAGTTAAATTTATAATTAATTAAATATGCTGAAAATTATAACTGATATACATGACATAATTTGATTTGTACTATTTACAACTAAATTCAAAATGATCAATTCTACAATACTTGACTTCTAGAAATCAAGTAATTATAATTCATTTGATTTCCCAAAAATGCAAGATATTTCTTAAACTAATTGGTCAGAGGACCAATAGGAACAATTTTTCAACAAAGTTTGTGATGTAAGGAACAATAAGTGATGTTGACAACTAATATTCAATTTTATAAGGTTGTTAAGTATGATTTTTAAATTAAGAAACCAATTAGTTTGTTAAAAGACTAGATAAATTTAATTTTGAGTGATTACAAGTGTGAGTGTGGACAAGAAATATTAAAAAATTGAATATTAGCAAATGATCGACAATGAATATTAATAATTATAGTTAATTTTGCTTGAAATTTTTGTACATGAGTAAAAGAGTAATTGTAATACTTCTTTGTGGTGGCTGGTAAAACTTTATCCAGTTGAATCTCATAATAATTATGAGATTCAACTGGATAAAGTTTTACCAGCCACCACAAAGGAGTATTAGAACTCTAGTGATTGATTTTAATAGTAATTGTAAGATTCTGACTTTGACTATTAAATGTACTACTACACAATATTTGTTCAATATGACAACAACAAATTTTTTAATAATTAACTTATATCACCAGTAGACCAGTCTGTTACTAAGAAATTTGAAATTAACCACGAGGTTTCTAAAACTTGATTAAAAAATTAAAGAGATAATTTGTTGTAAGCAAAGTTTTCTACAAATTAAAATTTTTAAGAGTATTATCATGACAAATTTATCAATAATATAACAATGAGAATGTTAAATAACATAAAATAAAAATCTTGGTCAAAATAATAGCGCCTAAGCATGAATAGAGCAACGCAAAAACTGACACAACTGAACAACTAGGCGACATAAAGAGAAGAGAGCGACGATTTACAAGCGCATAACTGCTATTCTGACAGATTAACTTGACCAGTGATGAGAGAAACGACGGATGACCAAACAGTGTGACCACGAAGTTAAAGATAGACTATTACTAAAATACTTTTTTGGAAGGTATTAAAGAACTGTCTAATGCTTTATAACTGTCCAATTGTTTTATCAAAATATGTCTGAAAATATTCACTTATACCTGTAGGCATATTAAGACCTTAAATTAGTAGTAAAATGATATAATACCATTTAATTTAACCATTTAATTAATCGAAAAATAAAATTATACCTTATAAGGTATAATTAATGGATAAGCTTAAATTTTTTTACATATCAATTATTTTCAGTGGGTTAACTTCAATGCTTATCAAGAAAAGTAATTAATCATTAGACAGCTAAAAATTCCTAATAATTTTACGGGAAGAGTCGTAAATTAATAGAGGTTTTTAATGATAAAAATTACGGAGATTAAATTAAAAATAATTTACTTACTATTTTATATTGTTTCAGATAATGAAAGATTGTAGACACTTAGATGAAAAAAAACGTATTAATAGTTTCTATAAATTAAATAAATTAATTTAGAAAATTTTTAAATTAAGTACTACAGGCATTACTATTATAATTATAAAAATATATAATGTCATGCCACATATTTTAATACTTTATAGTATTTTTTTATACATATTAATACTTTAACTGAAATATTTTTTCGAGAAATCTGAACTTTTTTAATTTTCCTTAACTATAATAAAAAGTGTTAACTCAAATCAAAATAATGTATTTATAATTCATATTTAACTCAAAAAAATAAATTATAACACTTTTGTTAGTAAATAACAAATTCTACAAAAATTGTCCTGATGAATTTTTTTATAAATCAAAACTTGAACGAAAATATTCAAATAACTATAAATTTCTACATTTTTCTAAACTGTGAGCTTTTGTATACTGTTAATAATGTAATATAAATTTCAAATTTTATAAATATTATTTTTAGATTCTCAAAAAATTAATGTTGAGTGGCACTTCTCAAATTTTCGGATTTTAAAAATATTGAACATCCTAATAAAGAGCAACTTTATTTTATTAAAGTAAAACATAAATGTTAAATTAGTTAATCCACTTTATTTTATACGATTAGTTTTTAAGTACAACTTTTTGGGTTCATATAATTTATATTGTAATACACATCAAGAGCTTTAATTTGCTATAAATGATCAGACGTTCCGGACTATTTTCAATAATTCAGTTGAAAACAAATTTTTAAAAGCCTAGGTCTTTTTCAAATCCTTCCTTTACATGGGTTTTTCATTGAAGTTTATTTTATCCAGTATACCCTATTAAAATTTTATAAGGTCTTTACTTTTTCAAATAGTTTTAAAATGCAGGAAATAAATATTGTATATATAATTGTTTATAGTAGCATAAATTTGAGATATTTTTCTAAATTTTTAAAATTGAGACAGGATTAAAATTGGGTTTTTTTAATGTATTTATAATTAAAATTGGACTAAAAAAATTTAAATATTTCATGGACACACATAAAAAAAAAACACATATACCATTAAAAAATTAATTCCTTTTCAGTTTCGCATTGAAACTAAGAGTGAAATGAAATTCTAAGAGATTTAAATACAGTATGTTTAAAAAAAAATCTACGAATTAAGACGATTCTGTTGCATATTTATTTAATTTATTTTATGTACAAAATTAGAGAAAGAAAAAAAACATGAAAAAATAAATTTTATGATGATTGTTTATCAAATAATTAACATAAAAATTATATAAATTTAGATAATTTTAGATAATAATTATGATATTTTATGATTTAATATTTCTGAAGTTAAATCGTGATAGAGTAATGAGACTGTCATTATTAAGGATTAATTCTTAAATGGATTTAAAAAAATATATCAGAAAAGCTATAAAATCAAATTGTATATTTCGTTTTCGTATAAATATATTTTATATAAAATTCATTATTTTATTTCAGTGACATAAAATAAAGTTTAATGAGTAAAAGATTATATTTTAAGAAATGAGTCCTAAAACTCTTGCTCTGCTTGAAAAGTCACTTTCAGACACATAACATCCACAAAAAAATCGTCTACCCGTAAATTTTGTTCGACCATGAAATAATCTCCAATTGTTAACAAATAAAACTGTTCCTGGTACCAACAATTGTTTCCAATATAAATCTTCTCGTTTCAATATTTCAACAAAATGGGCATAACTTTCATAAAATTCCTGGATCCGTGTTGGTGGTTTAGGACTCCGATCGTTAATACTAAATCTGTATGACATTAATATTGTAATTATTTAAAATATTTGATTTTTAAGTAATTAGTCATTTTTTACATTATACTGTTTTTTACATCAACTATTATAGATACATAAATATTTTTTCTTCGTGAGTATATAATTAAGACCAAAGTTGGTTCTTGAAGTGGCCAAGAATTTAGGAAATTCTCATGACAATTGATAAATTATTATAGTTAGAAATATATATATATATATATATATATATTATATAAGTTGACATTTTATTAGCTCCTTACATTTTGTTGATTAAGAACAAATCAACAAATTTGTTTATAGTATCTACTATCCCCGTAAAAAATGTTGGGTTCCGGCTCTAAATAACGTCATCCAACAAAGTTGGTTATAATATAATTTTTTCAATCATTTTAATGAAAACCCATTATTACCAAAAAATTGAGTTTCATATTTTATGTAAAGAAATTTAAAAATATATCTTTAATAGAAAATATTTAATGAAGAACTTAAATACTATTGATACGTTATCTCTGTACCCTCAGCAATAGTGCTATTTTTACACATTTAAAAGTATTTCTAAAATTTAACAAAATATTTCAACGAAGTCTATACAATTACTTAAATGTATCATAATCAAATAATAAGTAAGGAAAAATAAATAATTTGATATTTTTTAATTACCTGATTTGATATATCTCACCAGTTGTCTTATTAACTTTAATAACCGGTCCGGTACATTTATAATGCGCACCTGGCTCAATGTATTCTGATTCTATTTCAATTTCTGTCAAATTTTTAAAGTGTGTTGGGTTTTCTTGTTTCAATATTTCTGCTACTTTAAAGCCATCAACATATGTACTCTCACCACCTGTACCATTGCTATCTCTTTCTAACATATGAAAAATTTGAACCCTAAAAATGATTTAAGATGATATTTTGTTTTATATTTTATTAACCAATATGCTTATTCTCAAATTTAATAAATAATGTACTTAGGACTTTCACAGAAATATGTACTATCAGTATGAACAACTAATGGAACATTTAGATATGCTGTGTCGACGTGTCCCTCTTTGTTTCCGACTGTCCACATTGCTGTTCCAAAAAGTGTTGATTGAGGAATCGCTAAACAGCGTATAACATTTTCTGTAGCTTCAACCGTTGGCTCAACCTACACATAAATATAATGGATTTTTATACATATGTATTAGGGTGGTCCTTTTTTGACCAACATTAAAAAATTGAATGAGAACCCCACATATTTTTCTATGTAGTAAATAAAATTATTCATAAAATTTGAATATTCTAGGTCAACTTCTTCACGTGCCTCAAAGAGGTTGAAAAATCTCCAAAAGGGGTAGAAATATAGTATTTTGCGTGTATCTTTTAAAATATTAAGATGACGGAAAAAACTAATTAATTTTGTAGGAAAACATATTACTTATATAAAAGATTCTTACATATATTTACATATCATTGACCGCTAAGCATAAAAATTAAAAAATACTAATAAAAAATTTTTGTCTCAAGAAAATTTTTTTTTTTTGACAATATCTCTCTAAATATTGAGAATACAACAAAATTAAAAAACATAAAATATATTTATAAAAATTCACAAATAAAAAAAAATTTATTATAATTTTTCTATAATACTGACTGAAATTAAGCGTTAAAAGTAAAAAAATCACTTAATTTTGGTAAAATGTTTTCAACTATATTTTTGTTAATATTATTTATTAATAACATTTGTTTGTAGATATATGAAGTTAATTTGATTATATTTATCAGCTTTTATTTTATTTTCATTCAGTTTTTCTTTGCCTAATTCAAATGACTTTTAAATTATAGATACTATGTAAAAGATGATAATAATCACTTAAATGTTCGTTTTAAAATCTATTGCTATTTTGAAGTTAATATTCAAGATTTTTTTTTATAATTTAGTGTATCACAGATTTTTTTTATAAGGCCCACGACATCCTATTTTTCTTATAAGTCATATGATCAGTCAAATAACAGGTAATAAATTACCTTCCAATGGAGATTGCTTACGTGCATTATTTTACAATATGCGGATTGACACTTATTTTCAATTATTATGAAATTGTTCTGCATTCTGTTTTATCGTACTCCAAACTAACAGCAATGTCCGGCCCCGAAATTCCTATTTTTAAACGTTTCAAAAATGGTTGGAAACAAATAGACCAAACACGCTCTAATACTTATAAAAGCAATATAGAGGTCAAACAAATATTGTTTAGTATAGCCGATGACATTATAAAATTTTATATAGAAACTTTAAATGAAAATCAACCGAGAGACGATTATAAAGAATTTTTGGAACTTATTATTATTTTTTTGGGTAGTATACCACCTAGAGGTATTCACTTTCTACGTACAGGAGCTTATCATCATGCTAAGTGGATGTATAAGGGAATTTATTGTTTAAAAATGTTATTATTTCACGAACAATTTACAATAACAAAAGCAGAAATTAAAAACAGGGTGTTGTTTTATAGTTAAGTGTTATGTAGAGTTTTGGTTTAGATGACCAGATGCAATTAAAGCACCTTATAATGACATTCTTTTTTTAAGAAGACTTGAAAATGATAAAATTGATGACCCAAAAGTGGTTAAATTGGTAATAAAAAAAATTATTATTCATTTATGGTATCTAGGGAAAGAAACAACTTGTTTATCATTGTCTGATGATCGTATTAATAATAATACTAAAAAAAAATGTATACTTTAAAAGTTGAAGACGTTTCAACCTTTTTAAAGAAAAATTTACCAGTCTTATTGACAAATAATTCAAAAAACTTTTTTCAAAGATTCCAACTAAACATGGAATTTTTAGCCAAATTCCAAAAAATTGGCCTAACATTAAAAGTTACGTAGAAGCCAAAAATATTTTAAAACATTTAAGTGTTGTAAATGATGCTGCCGAATGAGGGGTAAAGTTAATGAAAGAATTTAACACCCGGCTCACTAAAAATGAAAATGAAAAGCAATATATATTGAAAGTATGTTCTTAAGTAACAATTTTTTCGAAAATCAAAACTTAAAATGCAATTTTTGTTATTTTAGGTGATAGAAAAATATCGTAAAAAGTACCCTAGTCATAGAAAAGATATTCTAAGTTATTTTTTCGACTTGAAAGAACGAAAAAAATTTAAATAAATTTAACTTTTTATGCTATGACAATTACAAATAACTCAACCAAACCTTTGTAAGGTATTTTAAAATAAAATAAAATACAAAACCCAGAATTTTAACACAAATATACCCTATTATTGAATATAGTAATTGTTTTAACCATGAAGAGGTCAAATTTTTTTTTCAAATTAGGGTATATTACATAAATATTAATTTAAGACCTATATAAAAGTGTCAGTATTTCCAGAACATTATCAAAAGTTAAGTTAAAAATATTAATTTTTGTGAAAAAGATGTCATTTTGAATCCCCCCTGTGGACAGGTAAAGGGTCAAATTTATAAAAAAAAATATAAAAAATAAAATTTAAATATCTCACGTATCTATAAAAAAAAAATTATATTGATTTGTTCATTTTTAAAAAAGTTATGGAAATTTAAAAAAAAAAATTGAAAAATGTCAAAAATTACCGATTTTAAAGAATTGTAATTTTTTTGGGGAAGTCGCCCCAATTTCGAGGAACGAGGTAATTTTTTCGATTTGATACAATTTGTGATCTTTTGACGTATTGTTCATTAAAATCGGTCCAGCGAAAGCTGAAATTGAGCGTCACAAACAAAAATAATAAAAAAAACAAATCATATTAAAATTAATACCTACTTATCGAAGGTAAAAAAAAAAAAAGGTGCTATATGATGATTATGTAAAATAATGTTAATTTATCAGTTAAATTAATTGTATATATATACCATTAACGTATATTTAAATGTTCACAAATAAACTATATATCAATAGATTATTCAATTTAAAATTACGGGGGTTTTAATTACTACAACATTTGAATTTTCGATAGTTTTTTGTTTTCGCATCGAAGCTAAAAGAAAATAATTGTCGTATTCATGTTGCAAGTGAAATAATGATAAATGTTGTTTTAAATTTTTTGTTAAAACTCACATTAGTAACAATTCCTACACCATATTTGAGTAGTGATTTCATTAATTCTTGTTGACCCTTTTTTTGGTTTACGCAGTCGATAGGTAGTCTAGGAGGTAAACTTCCGAGTTCTTTGCCAAAACAATGATGTGGTATGATTTTAGATTGATTGTTTGAAGTCCATATATCATAAATCCATTTAATATCATAAGTCGAACTATGTCCATCAGACCCTAATTATTTAAGGAACGAAGTTTAAAAATGTATCTTTTGACCCTCCAAAAGTGATAAATACAACCTATTTAAATACTTACATTCAACCAAAACCGAATTATTTTCTTGTTTACAACTTGAGATTTGAATTTTTATATTTGTAATAAATTGATCAATTGTAGTTATTCGACTGGAACATGATGAATTATAACATTTTGGACATCTAATACGTAAGAAAAATTAATTTGATGTATTAATAAGCGTATTTACTATAAACAAATGACCGAAAGCTGAATTGACAAACACACCTGCAACTATCCCGTAACCAAACAATATTCACTGAAAATTTTTTATCTTCAAACTTCAATTCAACTGACATTTTCTGTTAAATAAATCGTTACTATGTTCAAATATACTTACATTTAATGAACGTATAAAATGTGTAATTATAATTAATCAATTCATTAAAATTAAAATAATACACCGTTAAATTTTATTAAATCATTATTTTAATATTTAGTACATTTATTATTTTAGTATTTTTATAATTTTTTCGATCAACGTTAATTCAACGTGATATTTAAGGCAATGTGATACATTTTCCTGGCATCAGTGCTTGACTTGGGAAAAACTACTAAGAGGTCTCTAAGAAGCATTTATTTTGTAAATATTAGAATATTTTGTATGATTTTTAATATAAATTTAATACAAATATGTATGTTGAGCAATCTTATAAAATAAGCTTAAGTCACACGACATGTTTCATTCTAAAAATGTAGTTTGAAATTAGTTGAAGTATTCAATTCCCTCGTCCTAAACCAAGTACTGACAGTCATTACTTACCCTACTAGATCATTTTGGTTATTGATAAATCATCCTTTATTTAGATAACATTAACAATTTTAATTAAAATTTCATTTGCATTTACTATTTGAAAAAATAATTAAATTACATAACAAAAAATACTGTTTTTCTAAATTTTTATTTGACCATATGTATATGTAAATATTTAAATAATACCACAATGATTATTACAGTGATTATCAGTTATCAATCAAATTATATGATGTACATAGTCCAAACTTTATACTGATTGGTATAACATTGATCAGTTTAGATACAATTTTTTCTGTTATGTCCACTAATGTCAAGCATGGCTGGAAATACGGTCAATATATTATATTAACATACTACCCACTAAATTTTTGTTATAAATTATTTTTTTTTATAAAAGTGTGTGAATTAATAATTGATTTATTTTTTATGAACCATATCAAGTTTATTGTAAGAAAAAAATTTCTTAAGGGTTAATTTTAGATATTTTAATGGGAACCTAATATTACATGGGAAGTGAATTAAATACAATTTTGATTAGTTAGTAACCAGTTTTGTAAAATTACTTTTAGAAATATTAGCGTTTAAAAATTTAGAATATGTAAAGAGCTCGGTAATGTTTAGCGAAACTCTATTTTTATCATAACACTTAGATAAAAATTATTGTACGTTACAATACTCTTGCATATAACTAAAAATTGAATATAAAATATGTAACTAATAAGATAATAATACAAAACTGGTTATTGACCAGACAAAATCTTATTTAGACAGTTCTCCACATAATAGAAGAAAAATTATAGATTCCCGTTTAACTTATGAAAATTACCCTTAATATCTATTCGTGTAAATACTTTTTTTTAAAAACAAACAAGATATTGACTATGGTTCTTTACAATAAATTAAATTTTGACCTACACATTTTTATGAAAATATCATTATCAGGTGAAATAATTGGGTAGAATTCTTTATAACTGTAAATAGATGAACTAAATAAATAAATGTACAAAGTTGTTATAATAAATGTTTATAGACGCACCTAGGAAGACTAGGGAGGGCCCCAAAGGTTTGTACAAATATGTTTACTATTAAAATAAATATATTTTTTAAGTGCGGAGTAAAATACATTTAGTCCCTAAAAATGTTATTCTAGTTGCACTTAAGTAGGTATTAATTATCTAAAACGGTATACATGTCTACTTAGTACAATTTAAAGTATATATTCATATTTAATCCAAAATAAAAGTTTAATATCTAGAGAATAATTTTACTTGTTACTAGTTGAATAAACATAATTTATTGACTATTGCTAATGATGGTGTTCATTTACTGCCATCTAGTTTAATTTCAGAGCAAGATTATTTTTATTTTAAATATTAAAATAATATAATTTATTGAGTAAAAAACGTAAAGAAAAAATGTCTTAATTATTTCAGTTGTATTTAAATTAGTAAATCGTTGTGTAATAAAAATAATGATATATTTCATTAGAACCATTTATTTTAGAACAAAAATAATTTTTAACAAAGATAAAAAAAAGTAAACATAGAAAAAAATGAAATTACACATTACTTTTTAACAATAAAACACTCTGGAGTAATCTATAATTACTCAATAAGCATTAATTTTAATAATGATACTTACTTACAAAAAATATTAAATAATAATATTTGGTCAAAAGTATTACACTAACCAAAACCATAAAAAACACTATACTAAATTAACAACGCGTATATATACCATCGTCAATGATGCCAAATATGTTTGTTAATACTAATTGCAGTATAATTATCTCATATAAAATACTAATATGATACAAACATATTTTATTGTTCTTATTTATCTCAATTATATGTATACGATGCTGTTAATTAATAAAATACCACGTACTTATTTTTATTAATTATCAATAAAGTCAGTATCACTAAACAACATAAACATTTTAATCAATAGCTAATAAATTTTCAAATTGAAGTAATAAAAATAAATAATAAATGTCAAGATAATTGTAAATCATAGTATTACCTAGTGAAAAACGTTAAAAAAAACCCAGCACGGGAGGGTCGCGGCACAGTGGTGACGTGGCATAGTTGGATCAAGTATAATGATATCTGACAGTGATTAAAATCACTATAAAAAAAAAACGCTTCGGTGCAAATCTTTAGATAGTGTTTAATTTAAAAAAATTGGTGTATTATTCCAAAAGCTACATGATCTGCTAGTTCCTTATTAATATCCTGATTAAGGTAAAGTATGTCGAATGAAAGAGATTTTTAAAAAATATTATTTCTTATAAAAAAATTGTATTGATCCATACATTTTTTAAAAAGTTATAGCACTTTAAAATAAAAAATAAAAATATAAAATAGTGAAATTTCACACAAAATTAGCATTCCGTAGCCGTTTTTAACATGAAGACAAATCTAGAGTTCAAATTTTTTTATTTCATAATAAAGTACATTACATTAGCTTTAATTTAAGATATATATAAAAGTGTCAGACCTTCCGGAACATTTTCGAAAGTTAAGTTGAAAAAATTAATTTTTTGTGAAAAAGTTGTCATTTTANTCGAAAGTTAAGTTGAAAAAGTTGTCATATTAAAACCCCCCCCCCGTGGGCAGATAAAGGGTCAGATTTATAAAAAACATATACCAAATGATAGGTAAAGACATCAAGCATCTATAAAAAAAAATTTATATTGATATGTTCATTTTTAAAAAAGTTATAACAGTTTTAAGTAAAAAAAATTGAAAAAATTTCGAAAATTAGCAATTTTTAAATTTGTAATTTTTTGGAGGTTTCCCCCATTTACGGGGAACGAGGGAATTTTTTTCAATTTTTAAGGGTAATGTCTTCGACTAAATACGATTTGTGATCTTTTGACGTATCGTTGAAAGAAATCCGTTCGGTGAGAGCTGAGAAAAAGTGGTAACAGACACAAAAAATAAAAATAAAAAAAATAAACACATCTTAGTAAAACCAATACCTTCTCAGCTTCGCATCGAAGCTAACATACAGTTTTAATTAATCGTATTTTAAAAATCATGTTATATCCTTTTCATTATAAAATAAAATATTTGTATAAAATATACTTTCATAACCGTTATAGAGGCTGCATTAAACACCAGTACATGGGGTGCAAAGAGTATTTTGCGCCCCTTAATATTTCAAAAAAAATGTTCGCTTAGCAAATAATTTTCCTCTGCATTGCTAAACGCTAAAAAAAAGTTCATTCAAAAAATTTCTTCTCTGCATTTCTTATCATTTCCAAGGTAAAGTTACAACCTCAAACATCTACTCATTGTTCACAGATAATATCACTTTATTTTGACAAATCTAATAACCTTTAGTCTATTAAATATTTCAGGTTACTCTTTTTAAAAATACTTTATTTATTTTATGTTAAAATCATATGAGTGAAATACACATTATTAATATATACTTGTACATTGCTATTTTTACGTTTTGAATAAACACAAAAAGTAAATTATATAATTTTTATTACTAAAAACAAATATGATTTTAATGTAGCTTAAGAATGCATAAAATATTTAAAAAAAAAACACAATAGGGCTAAGTGCGATAAATGTAAACTCATGTAAAATATGCAGATAAATAAATTATATTTAGAATCTATACGTACAAAACGGTAATATTTTTAATAAAAACTATCCAAGCTAGGTTAATGAAGAATATGCATTTACATGAAAATCCGGTCTTTATTTATGAATAAGATACGTAAGTAATAACACTTATACAAGGAAACTGATATGACTAAAAATAGAATATTATTTCCACAATATTCTCCCTTATCAATTTTAATGACTGTATTATAATATCACGTTTCATTCTATTTACTACCGCACTCGCATATGTATAAAAATCAGTATACATGTAATATACTTATGATATAATACATATCCATATATAAAGCATGTACGAAAAATTATAATATATTGTCATAAAAGTAACTAAATAGAAAAATTCATTAAAATTAATTTAAAAAGAAAATTTTCCCCTTCCAAGGCTATATTTTTTTCTTGAAAAAATTACAGTCCCCTCAAAATTTTCACTCGTGTCAAATGCTTTTCTAGTCGCACCCCGTTTAAATGCTTCCATGCTGTCACTTGTAAAAAACACAAGATTCTATTTCATTGTCATGGTTTCCTAATCCCCCACTTTATCCGGTACTGGCTGGGTTATGTAGATCGTTTCTCGTCATCTTTAGCATAAGTAATAACTTTTAGAGAGGATGTTAAGCATAGACATAAATAAATAAATATAATTGTTATTTTACATGAAAAATAAATTAAAGGAAGTATAAAAGGCAATATTCCATCGATCCTTATGTTTAATCCGAATGGTAGAGGGTAATAACAAATAAAACACATAAGTAAATTTAAAAATTTAAATCGAACAAATGCAACACATTTTTTTTAAAGGTTACTTTGCTATATTGTCCATGAATTATTACTTTTATTTATGGTGAAAATGACAAATAGTTTCTATTATCTTCTAAAATGTTCTTATTTTTGATAACTTGGATTTTAACTATAAATGTGCAGGAATCGCTGCCAACGAAGTTTTGATTTAATATTTGAAGAAAACTTTTCCTCTTGAATTTCTATGGAATCTATACTAAAGAAGTTGTAGTTGTTAAGTTATCTTATACAATGTAACCGTTATATCTGTTAGACAATCGGACGTTGAGGTACTTACGTAGTGTCTCAAAGTCGTTTGTTGCAAAAGTCCTTAAACATGTAATTTTGAAGAATCATTTTATATCGATCCTAACCTAGTTGTAGATTTATCGGGGCGATATGGATATTTTTAAAATTCATAATTCCATTTATTATGTAGAAATTGAACATTTTAATGATCTACTATGTGTTTTTGGAATTAAAATTTTTTTTTTTTTTAATATAGGTTATTATTGCATCATTTTTCTAATCCTAATAATAACTCATAATTTACTATTTATTTAAACTTGTTTTGTGCCTACAATTTAGATGTTGACAATTTATACTTCATAGTTAAATTAGATATCCATGTTTTAACTCCAAATATTATTGTGAAGCTTAACATATTAATACTTACTTTTATGTCGATGCTAACATAATTTTGATATAAAATTTTATCACAATTATGTTATTTTTAAGTATTTATTCTTGATTTTATTTATTTGTACAAGCATATTTTGTCGTAATAATTTAATGATCGACATTCAATTTTATAAAAATGTTAGGACGTCAAATATACATCTATGAAATAAAAAAATTATATTACATGGAACTCTTCGTTAACTTTATAAAATCTGGCCAAATATTTAAATTATGTATATTTATGTATAATTATGTAAATAAAATTATATGAGGTGTTGTGGCTATTTTAAATAGCTGATATATTTTCAATTTTGTATACGAGCAAAAATAAATATATCATTTCAATGATGTCAAGTACAATTCGATTTTTTAAATGACTTACCAAAAACAAACTTTTTCGATAAAAATACACATAAATTTTTAGCACATGACAAAAAAATATCCTTCTCTGCATAAAATATAATGCTTTTCATTCTTTTTTGGATGTAAGCCACGGAATTAACGTACACGTTTTAAAATAATATTGTATAAGATCTAAATATTTAACTTGAACATCGATTCCAAGAAATTATTTTATCAATTAATAAAACAAGCAGAACTTGTTTGTCTCAACCAAGTATTAAAAATGATTTTTTATAAAATTATTTGGGTATAATTATTTTATAATTAGAACCATAGTGTTAGGAATTTTATGTATATTTAATTTTTTAATTTAAAATTAAAAAATTATTATTAAAATTCATTTTTGCTTAACCTATAATTTTTATATTTTTTAAAAACCTTGATATCACTGTTTACATTTTATCAAAAATAATTTTATGACATAATCTATATTTAATCATAAAATTATGAAAATTAAAATATAAATATTATTGAAATTATTAAAAGACGGGTTTTTTATCATAATGTAAAATAATAGATTTTTTAAAAATGTGTTGTCCATTTTTATAGATGTAATTAATTATATTAACATATATATTACATTAATTTATAAATTATTATTTATAAATATAAATATTAACTGTAGTATTCATATACTTATTTAAATTTTGAGGTTGAGTTTTTTCATATAAATAATTTATAATGTAATATAATTATTATATTACATGTGTAGATTTTTTAGTTACATAAATAAATAGAACTATTCAAAATAATAATTTTTTTATTATTCCATTTAATGCATGTTTATTATAATATATTATTTTTAAAAATACTATCTGATTTGCATTATTTTTAAATAGTTAAGTACTAAAATGACCTTAAGTATAAAACTAATTACGTAGATTTCATGAGTTGACGTAACAACTGATTTTGATATAATTAAATATTAAGTGTATACAGAATGTATCAGATATATCTAGCAATTCTCAAAATTATATATATTATACTTTTATTCTTATTACAGTCAAACAATAAAAAATAACATTTTAAATTGTAGAGTACCAATTCATTAATCAAAATTGAGATTTAATCAAAAGTTGTAGGTGAGTTGAGCATTTTGTATAAATAATGTAATAAAATATTTTGTTAACCTCATTCGTGAATGATGAAAGGACCTAATCCTCACTATGTCACATTTCGATTGATAGAGGAGTATGCAAATTCTGGAGTTTTAAACTACCCAAAACTAACTTAGCTATATAGCAATGAGTGTGGGGAATTATAAAACTCCTACGGATGTATCATCTACCTACAGTAAAAAACCCTACCCAAAACTAAATTCCAGCATACGCTACTGCTAACTCAAGTGAATTTTTTTAAATAGAAATATTACAGTCGGAATTTTCTGAAAATTTCAACTTACAAAAACAAAATGATAGATATTATATCATAAATAATAAAAACCATTTTCAAATTAAAATGTATACTTTATTCCATAATAATAATTGTATTACTTAAAATTACACATAAAACAACATTAACATAATTATAAACAATGGTTAATTATAAAATATTTCAATTCCAACAAACTCACAGGTTTCACAAAACAATCAACGATATACCTACTCATTTACGTAATTTATTTATTATAATTATCTTAGAGATATAATTTTTTTATCTACACACATATTTCAAAACACACGTGCACATCGTTTAATTATGTATAACAACAAAAATAACACTTCTTAATCATTTGGTAGACATTGTTCTATTACCATAATATGATAATAAATTAAATAATACATTATATAACAAATTAAATTACTTGTAACTGATAAAAATATCAATAGATAACTGCTCATGAATAATAACAATGTATAGCAATAATATAATAGAATAATACACACAAATAAAAATTTTTTACTATTGAAATAATTATTATTTGTAAATAAATGCTATTTGTTTGCAATTTATTATTCAATAAAAATAAATTTAAACAGTTGTAAATTAAAAATATTACAAAAATTAATTTGTATTGAAAATTACTTTGACTTTTTATACTTAATATATATAATTATTATATTTTTTAATTTAAAGATCAGGTTTTTAATATTCGTTAAAATTGTTGATTTTATCATATAATTCAATATATACATTTCAATTCAATGTTGAACCATACAATAATATTATAGTATTTTAAATAAACACTAACATACAAATAAAAAAAATTATGATATTTAAAATAGAAAAAAAAACCAGCTAAATAAAAAAACCTGTTTTTTTGCTGTGCATAGTTATAGAATTAAAATATTATATTGTATATATGTTTAGTATTGGACGGATTTTGATACTTTTGGGCTTAAATTATACTAAAAAATGGCTAAAAACTTAACAATAACAACAAAAACTACACATAATCAAAACACAGCCGAATGTATTCAATTCAAATAAAATATAATCAATTAATTCTTTAAAAAAATACATAATTTATTAAATATTTATAAATGTAAGGACAATTTATAATTATTGAATTATAGTTAATTAATAAACTATATGAAATGTCTAAAATTTGTTATTCATTGATAAATTTAATCAATGAATAATAAAATTTAAACATTGAATACATTTTTGGTCATTATTTAAAACACAGCATTTATTTAATTTTATATATTATACACATTTGAAACAGAGCAATTTGATGGAATGTATATATTATTATATTGTTTACAAATAAATAGTTAATTTTTATTTATAGAATGTTTCAATTATAACTTACTTAATTACAAACAAAATAAAAATAATTTCGTAAATTAATAAAATGATTGGTGGATATCGAATTTTGGGACTATACTTTTGAATTTATTAGCGTTTTTAAAATTTAACTTGGAGGTGACAGTGAGGTGCTGCTATTTTTATAACTAGATATTTCAGTTCATGCCGTCTAGGTATAAAAATGAGAATACTTGATATATAAACTTAATACTTGAAAATATAAATTGATAATTCAAATTACAGTTCCAAAAGTTTAATCGATAAGTTGTTTACTCAATTTGATAATTTTCTATTACATAAAATAGTTAAATATGTATGATGAACCAAAAAAGTAATTGAAAATTGAGAAATCCAGAAATTTATTTAACTAAAAAAACAATATTCCTAAAATTATTTTTATTTTTAAGTAATTGGGTAATCCACACAATGATAAATGAATCATTCTGTATATTTTAATATGATCGTATTTGACATTCTCTATATGTTTATATTAATTAATACTTTACCACCATATTGTTACAGAGTCAAGTTTTTCAAACAATTTTATTAATATAAATGTTAATAATTCATCAGAAATTTATTTCTTGAAATTTTTTATAAAGATTTCCATGACAATAAAAGTTGAAATTTGCATTGTTTTATAGAGTACCATTTCAGTCTGTCGTAAACTTATTTTATAATTTAACATAATTAAAACTAATTTTACAAATTAACAATTAAATAACAACAAAATTATGTTTGATATATGCTGTTCAATTTTTCAACATAATTCTTTTTGTTTTTAATAACTCCTAAAATTTTGATAGGTTATGCATGAAAATATTAAATTATTTTATAATTAATTCTTAAACCACGCAAGCGTATATTTTTTTTAGGTAAAACATATTTAAAATAAAAATTACAGAGAGTTATAAATAAAGTTAAAAAGTATTTTCAATAATTTTTTATATACATTTATAGTTACAAATGTTTTCTTAGCCTAATTATCAAAACTGGGTAACATTAAATTAATAATAGTTCATTGATTATGAGGAAAATAATTTAAGAAAATTGATTTATATTTAATTTAAATTTAAATATTATATAGTCATAATCCAAGTTTAAAAACTCAATTATAAACAGTTTTGATCTATATATTACAACATGAATTTAACCAATAATTTGTAACTCAAAGCTTAGGACAAAGTTTCCTAAGTATGTACTTAATACGTACTGTACATGTTAAATGTACTATTTAACATGTAACAGTTAATAAAAATTAAATTGATTTTATAAAATATTATGTATATAATTATAATTTATGTATAAATAATTACTTTTAAACGAATCTAATCTAACTTAAGTTTCTTTCATGAAGAACACATTTTTATATTAATAAAAGTAACATAAATATTTACAATATTAAGCACTGTATTTAGTATAATACATAAAAAATAGTAGTTATTTAATATTTGCAAATAATATTAACAGCTAACCCTTCATTCATTTTTCCTCGAAAAAGTTGTAATCTTTTAAAGTTATAACGATATAGAAATTTGATAGATGGTAGTTGGCGATTACAAATTATGAAATTATTATGAGCAAATATCAAATTAGTTTTTCATTTAGTCACCCTGTGGTTTTTGTTTTTTACTTGTGTGCGTTTTTTGAATTTTTAACCCGTTTTCTAATGGATTAACGGGATAAGAATTCAAAACCGCGGGCTATTGGGTGAAAGTAAAAAAACTCAGACTTTCATCCCAGTCGTCAAAATCAAGTGGTCCAAAACATTCATCCCAAAAGTGTTCCATTGATAGCAACAAATGTCTTGTAACGCCATCAAAATCATGGCCTTCATCAGGATAAGTCTGTAATTCAAATTGTTATAAATTAGAACTATTTTTTATGTGATATTTAAAAACAAACTTCATATCAATAAATCGCTTAAAATGTTTAAATATTAAACGTATTTATTATTTTACCTGATGTCTGAATAATATTCCATTTTCTGTCAATGCTTTAATAATCATCATGCTATGTTGGTAGTGAACAACTTCATCTGCGCTTCCATGAATTAATAATAAAAGCTTATCTTTTAAATATTTAGCTTTTTTATTTAAATTTGAATCCTCGTAACCCCGATAATTATCTGTTACATTGGGAGTACCCATAATTTTTTCTGTCCATGCAGAATCTAAAAAAAAAAATCATCAATACTATAATTAAAGTGTACATTTTAAACATTATTAATTATTTGTATGCCTTTTGGGCCACTGAAAATCTTTATTTTTTGTATATTTCTTTTATAATTTAATATTCAAAATGAAGCTCTATCTCACTATCAATAAAACTAAGTTATTAAAAATATAGTTGTATAAGAGTTTAAATATTAGGGTGTACTATTGAATACCCATATGTAAAACAAAAATTAAGTGATATTTTTGGACAATTAAAATTTTGAATACATAATTATAATTACACTCATCGGTTAAAAAATTAAATAATTTTGCGAAAAATATTCATTTTTAAAAAAATTACCAAAATGTGACCAATTTGTTATTGGTGCTATAGACAAGGCACATTTAAAAACGGATGGTTTATTGGCCAAAATCATTCCAGTGGCATAACCACCATATCCTTTTCCCCATATTCCTATACGTTCTCGATCAATAAATTTTAGCGTATCTCTCAAATACCTATAAAAGATACATTTAACATTATTAATATTTAATAATTCACCATTTTAAAAATCTCCAATTTACAATAAAACATTTATTTGATCTTGAATATCTATACTGCCAAGTTTATAATGTATTGACTGTCTGTGCCTGTCACCTTGACCTAATGTGCCACGGCCATCAATTATGGCTATAATTATATTCCGATTGCTACTCAAATAAGTAGCCCAATCTACTGACCATTCTTCTGTAACTGATTGAGACCCTGGTTTTCCTTTTCTATTAAGATAAATTTTAGGAATCAAATAACTTTATTCGAGAAAAATTATTCACTATCTTACACGTATAATATAAAAGGAAATGCTGTTTCATCATATTCTTTAAACGCTGGAGGCAACATAAGTTTTGTTTGAGCAATAAATCCGTTTTCAATTTCAACCTGCAAAAAATATTATTTCGATATTACAAATAATTATTTTAATAAAAACAAATTTTCTTTTTCATATCAAAAATTTATTTGTAAATAATTTGCCTGCATAATTTGAATATTTGGCTTGGCCATTGTAGAATATTTGACCGCTAATTGTGTGTAATTGTTCAATGTCATTACTTTTTGATTAGTTTGTAAATTCATCAACATCACTTTTGGAACTTGAGGACCTATAAAAATTATAATAGTACAGTAACTTAATTTTTACCCAAGAAGGAATGGTTAGTGAAGAAAATAATTTCAAAATGGAAGCATTACAGACATAAAATTAAAAATATTGCACACACATTAGGCAATAGCCTAAAAAAATACAGTATGTAATATAATATATAATACATTTCAAATTATTAGTCATGCGATTTAAAAGAAAATATTAAGAGTTTTCTTAAATTTTTATAAGTGATTTAATTAAAAACTCATTGGTTGTCACTTGGAGAGGCTCTTTTTATAGGTGGCATCAATATTTTTAAACACTTCCGAAAAACTAACTAAAAATGCAGATTTTTATTTACATTATAAAAGTTATATTGCAATTTACAGGTGATATTTTAAAATACTTTTAACGATCTAAAAGTTTGTTAGTTTTTTATTCGACAAATTACAATCATTTTTATATGTTGTTTTTAGTTAAATAAACATTATTTTTGTATAATTGTGTACGTGACTTACCAAATTTATTTATTTTATTGGTTATTTAAAATAAGTCTTACACTAAAAGAATGGGCACCTCATTACTATAAATAAATGAAGAAAATTATTAGCTAAAATATAGTTTTAACGTAAATACTGTAATGTATATGTTAATAATGTAATTATTTTTAAATGGTATTTATTAAACAGAATTTTTTAAATTTTAAGTGTATAAAAATGATCTAAAATTGTATGATGGGTTATATTAAATATAACTAATATAATTGATAGCACACATCATTCGTCGTTAGATATAATATAAATTTTATATTAAACTAGTTTTATTTTAATTTATACTTTTATCTCACGTCTATTATTAAAATAATAGTAATATATTTTATTACCTAAACATTCTAAAACGTAGTATTTTGAATTTGGATACTGAGAAAAATGTGTTCGAACATATAAACATGAGTTTGTTCGTACTGGCCAAGAATCTTGTGGTAATTTGGAAGATTCTAATCCCTTAAGACTAAGTCGAAATGAGTCACTGAAAAATTAATTAGCTAAAATTGTTAATTTCTTAAATTTCATAAATTGTTAAATTCACTGGTATATACAAGTCATTATTAAAATCATTTTTTTTTTTTTTTTAATGATTTTAATAAATTTATGTATGACTTGCTTATACTAGGAACCCTTTTTTGAATTTTACTCTCAATATGGTTAAATAATGTTGTTATAATATGTTTAAAGTTGGTAAGTTTTTTTATCTAGGTTTTAATTATGTTATATTACTATTAGTTATTTTTTTATAATTAAAGAGTCATAATAAAAAAAAAATTGAAAAGTGAACTGTACTTTACCTTATATCTGACGATGTCGAAATATTCGACTTAGTCTCATTTTTTGTCACATTAACTGGTGGACAAGTGAGACATTCCCAATTTGCTGTACTATTGATATTATCAGATATTTTATATAAATGGCGTTGGGCTGCTTTTCCTTCTGGTACAGCTTCAAAATATCTGTAACGGATTAAAGAGAGTTAATTTATTACAATAATTGGAACCATAAAAACGAAAACTAGCGTATTTGTAACAATTATAAAAATTGCGATGAATTTGGTTTTAATATTTGTGTTATAATTAAATAAAACATATTAAATTCCTTTTCAATAAAAAATATCATAAGGTTTGATGTACCTCAGTCAATAACTTACTGGTATAACATTTGGTCACGATTGGTTGTATTTGGTTGGGTTGGCTTAGCTATACTTGGTAGACTAGACCAGTCTACCAGGTAATAATTAGACTCTAATTATAAGACCAATTTAAAAAAAACTAACTTTTAAATCGTTAGTTATCTAATCACATAACCCGGAATATTAAAGATAAAGTAACCGTTTCTTTTGAAAATTTTCCTAAGGCACCTTTGGTTCTCACTTGTCATATACGAGATGAAAAGATGGATAAGACCCAAAACACATATTTCTACGAGTTTTCGACGAAAAAATCTTGTACACGTTAAGTTGTTATTTTGGTTGTTGAAATATTCATTTTGAATGATTTAATTATATTAGATTAAGCAAATAATTTTACATACATAAGCTGATTTTGTAGATCCCACTGTACAATTTTAATGACGCTTATACTTCCAGTGGTTAATGGAACCATTACTTGTGTAAACACATTTATAGTACAAACATGTGGAAAAGTTCCATGCTGTCCATCCGATACAGGAAGAATGGCTAGATAACTGGTTCCTTCTTTATTAAACAATACTTGAGTGCCTTCTAGCCATCCCAGTCCATCGGTAATTTTCTCGACATAAGACTAATAATTAACACGTAAAGATAAATGAATACAACGTTATCAATTTATTTTTGTAAATAATAAGATACACTATTTGATCAAAGTTTGAATTAAAAAAATTGAGTTCGTCGTATCACTAGATTCTGTTATTAATTAAGATAAAGATGTATATTTTATTTGAATATTAAAATTAGTTCATATTCAAAAAAATTAAGCTCTTTTTCCAAGATGCCAAAAAAATATAAAAACAAATTTTAAAGCTCGATTTTCAACAGACCTTAATTACAAAAATTTAAGAAGAAAATATTTTGTCACATGACTGATTTTTGATTATAAAAAATATCTCGATTTATTGAAAATATAATTTAATTACGGCCTTTGCTTAAATATTGTTATCTAATAAAACGTATTAAAGAATCATTATATTTGATCTTACATCTTGACATTCCCAATTTGGTTCAGAACACACTGATATGACCATAGTAGTCCGTTTCCTATTCATCCAAACAACAGCTAGACGTCTATCATCAGCCCATTTAACATGCATAAGATAAAGTTCACTAGAAATACATAGTTATACATAACAATTAAGTCATCGCGTTATTTATTTGTTCATACCTTTCTAAATTTAATGCTTGTGGTTTGTTAAGCGATGTTACATTAATTACACTACCATTTTTTAAGTCTGTTAACCAAACGGTAACAATAGGATTCTGCGTTCCCGCCTACATAAAAAAATAGTCAAATATTAAATTCATAAACATAACAGAATTTCAATTAAAATCATTACGCCTAACAACGAGTAGTTCTAACAGTGTTTGACCGGATTTTCAATTACCTTGGAGTAGCGTAAAGACTGATAGTATGGGTATTGAGATCGTTCATTATAAACTGGATATTTGTATTCGCCGACTAAAGTGTCATTAAACGAAGCATATGCCATAAATCTGCCGGTCGGTGAAAACCAAAACGCTTTATCCGATTTGAAAATTTCCTCTTAAAAAAAAATAAATAATAGGTTTAATTGATCAGTGTTAAAGGTTAATATTAAAAGTTTAGTAGAATAATTATACATCCATTAGTTTGTTACTCGCTAGCAAACGTGTTTGAATTATGTTTCAAGTTTTTAATAGTTTTATGAACAAGCGCGTGTTTATTCGCATAAGAAAATTTACTGAACTTAGCGAGAAACATAAATTATTCGTTTTTAAACTACATAATATGAAAAGTAACAATGAGTAGGATATCACACACTTTGAGTTATGCCTTAGGGTTTGGTGTATGATCTCCATTTACGGAATCATTATTTATTTACAACTAAAACTTCATTTTTGTTTGTGAAAACTCTCTTGGGAAGAAACTGTGTTAAGATGTGATTGTTACAGTACAATGTGTCTTCTCCATTATTTCACAACACAAGCGAACACAACTAAAGTTAAAAGTTTTGTAGGACAAAATGTTTTATTAAACGTTACTTTTATCCAATTCAAAATTTCAGTATTAAATATGCATAAAAAATACTTTTTCTTACTATGAATTTAATGGTATTTTGAAATTAATAATTTGTTTATTTATTTTTATAACAAAAAAAAATAATGCATGAGATAAATTATAGTTTCTTTCTAATTTCATATTAAAACTTTATAAATCACATAATTATAAAGTAAATCAAATTTTATGTAAATTTATTAATAATAAAATTCCTGTAGTTGTATAGATGTAACATATTATGAATAATGATTTTTGTCATCATTTGCCAATTATTTTTATCTTATAGGCAATTTTAGAGATTTTATTACATTATTAATCATTTGTTCGTTGAATATAAATGATAGATAATTTACCTTGATACAACCAATCTGGTATTCCATTATAAATAACAGATGATCCTGAGTATGTGATTCTAATAATTCTACTAGATCGCGATGCTTGTATTTTATAATACAAATCATTTTTGTATACAAATACAAGTCCATTGCCTGTTGGTAACCATTGTACTTTTTGTACAAAAATAGCATCATTATCATCCACCGACTTAGGAACAATTGTCAATGATACACCATTTCTGAGAAACGAAATAAAATAATATAAATATCGCGATTATTTGTCATTTGTGACAGAAAATACTCACTGAGTCGCTACTTCAAACACGTGATACTTGGCTTCTCGAGTGTTCGTGTGCACCTAAAAATGTAGTTCTTATTAAAACTTCATTAATTTGTTGAAAAATACTATTAGCATAAAAACTGCTGCTAAATCCAATACCAAGACAAATAATTTACAGTTTAAAATTATAAAAAGTGTAAAATTATTGAAAAACAGAAATAATATAAACGTTATAAAAAAACTTTAATACGGTTCAGATTTTTTATAATGAGACCAGGCATTGTTAAAATCAGTATTTGTTGAAGTCTGACTATAATTGAAATCACTTTCATCAAATTTTCAATAATAAGTGCAAAATGTCATGTTTAACCTATTTTTTGGTCCTTTTAAGTTGATTTTTATGAAAGTATATAATTTAAAAATGTTGAACTTTAAATCTTTTTATTAGTTAAACTTGCAAATTTAAAATTTATTTCATTAAATACAAGATTTTATGAATATTTCAAAAATTGTGTGTTTAGATTGATGTACGGTCAGACACCAAAATTTCGTTAAAATTACTTATTATATTTTGTATTTATATCGTAATAAATCCTTCCATAGAAATATTAATTATTTCCATGTACTATGTATTGGTATTTAAATAGATGTGATACAATTGAAATATGTAGAATTATATTTCTTATAGTTATATCCTATAAATTTTAACTAGTTCGTAATAATATCAAAAATTAGTGGCGATAGAAAAAATCTAATTGCAGATGAAATTAGCACGAAAAATTAAATAATTACAGTATATTTTTGAATCTGATGAAAATTCCTTGTAAAACTTCTAATTCATAATTAACAACAATTTATTTTCTGGAAAGTTTTTGTATCAAGCCCTTCAATTTTTACACACGTTTGCTATAAAAGTAATAACTACTTTAAAATTTTTATAAATTCTTCGAAAAAATTACAATACTAAATTATTGAACACCAATCTATACTATTTTTAATTTCTATAATAAATATTTATTCATATATTATGCTTCTAAATCAAAGAACTACTAATCAGGATATAATTAAAGAAATAAGAGTTGATGTTGCTTTTGGAATAATCCACCAATTTCTCTAAATGAAACACTATCTTCAGATTTGCATCTATACTTGTCCTAACTATGCCACGTCCACACTGAGCCGCGACTCCACTGTGCTACCGTTTTTTTAGTTACTTTAGTTACAACTATTGTACTCATGTTTAATCCAATAGTTTTTCAAATTATCTTTTTGTTTTAATAGCCATATTATTTTTTTCTTACGATTGAAAAATAACATTGATTGTACTGCATAATAAGTCGATAAAAAACGAATAATAAATAATATGATTCTAATACCTAATATTAGTAATATGTCACGCATTATATAACAAATTGTTAATAATATTTACATAAGTATACTATGAACTAAATCACAAATAACAATAACTTGCTATTATACTGTAAATGAAAAATTTTAAAAATTTAGTTTCTAATAGAAACACGAAACATAAACAACATTGTAAATCGTAATTTTTATAAAAATTATTAACCCATCAACGCCTGGCGTCCCCATATGGTGACATTCGTATTGCTATTTTTATCGCGCGAATAATTTAATAGGTAAAAGCCGAGTGTACCCATATGGTGACACTCAATATCTCAGAAATCGTATTTTCAAAAAATTTAAAAATAATTTTTTTTTATTTTTGTGTTGTATATTAATCTGTTTTTAGTAAAAAACATTGAAAGTTTGAAAAAAAATAATTCTCGGCGTTGATGGGTTAAAATAAGTTTCTAACAATATATTAAGTAATAAAAATGTATTCTATGAAAAATAATTCTCAAAATACTGTGTTATTAGCTGTATTTAAAGATTTTTCGGTATATATATATATACTAATAAATCATATTAGGTTACAGTTTGATAGTGTCATGAGTTTCAATAAATCAGATAATTTTATAAAATGGTTTTGAAAGTAAATGAAACAAACGGGTTTCTTTGACATATAAAAAGCACGAACGCATCAAAGCTCAATATTTCGATTAAATATTTGTTATACAGTGTTCGGTAACTCATAAATCCCAAGTGCGTGTTAAATTGTTCAGAAAACGATAAGTAATAGTGTTTTAGAGAAAAGTTTTGTCTTTCCAGTTCATTTAGTCTATGTTTAGAGCGACTTGTGGTGTATTAGCAAGTTTTTTTTTTTTTTACAACTACTAATGCAATTTCCGGTACTTTATTAGATATAACATTAAAAATAATTTCAAATTATCAGTTAAACAAATTAAGTTATAATTAAAATTCAATATTTACCTTTTTTACTTCTGATGCAAGCAATATAAAGTTTTGATCACTGGATACATAAAAATCAACTGCATTAACTCGTTTCTAAAATTTAAAAAATGAAATTTTATTATTTAATGAGTCTTTGAGTAACTAAGTGATTACATGAAAGTTTTATTATGAAAAAAAATTACATAACAGTAAGAATTAAAAATAACGTTGCATGAAAAATATAAACATTAATTATGTTATGTAAAATCCTTTTTTTAAAAACAACCACGCCCTATATTTTTTTCTTTCTAATTATTACTTAAAAATATTTAAAAGCCTTCAGTTATAATACAAAGTTATTTCTATACTTCAGATTGTTTTTCAGAAATAAATGATTAGAAAAAGCCTCTTATTAAAATTATAAAATAATTGCAATTAAATTTATAAAATGTAATTATAAAAATATTCTCATTAAAATTATAAAAAGTTAAAATTATAATTTTTCATATTGCTTTGATTTTTAAGTTCCATTAAAATATTGATTTTATAAAAATAACTTATCAAATCGATTATTTATTATGAGTTACCATAGATTGGTATTTACAAAATACTCACAAAAGACGAACTGGTAAGGAGTATTCTGTGTCTATTTGTTTCGACGTTGTAAACGCTGACGCCACCTTGAGTATCTCTAATCACGAGTTCTACGTCTGGAACAAATTAAATCAAATGTTAGTTTAGTTAAATAAATACGTCTATACAAGAAGTTCAATCATCAAATTTAAATACATATACATATGTGAAATTATAGGAAATTTATTTACTTTTATTGAATACAAATTAAGATATCAAAAAATGTTAGTAGTATTTAAATCCTGAAAAATAAATCTTTAAGATATTACATTAGCAAATATTATGCCTTTATTCGTGGTTTCCATACATTTATTCCACAATATGTTACAATAAGATATTTATTATTATTTTTTAACATTCAACACTTTTTTTTTTATCTCAAGCTTTAATTTTTCACTTTTCTTATTGAATTACATGAAAACGGATGCTGAAAAAATTTAATCCTTTTCAAATACCATTAATCTTTCTTTATGATTGAACATCATCTTATGATACAAGCTTATGTCATACTTACTCTTTTTATAAGTGTCAGCAAAAGAGTAAACCATAATACATATTTCAAAATATTCTTAGTTAAATATTATATTATTAGATTATACTTTTTTCATTCAAGTAACCCAAATATAAATTTCCACAGCATGTTAGAAGTTTTAAAATATAAACATTTAAGCATTTAAAAAGAAACAAATATGTAAACGGTAGCACAGTGGGGTCGCGGCATAGTGGAGACATTGCATAGTTGGGTTCAGTCTAGATTTAATCTGACAGTGATTAAAATCACTATCATAAGAAACGCTTCGATGCAAATCTGTAGATAGTGTTTAATTTTAAAAAATTGANTACATTAAGCAATTTAGTTTGCTATTTACAGAAATATGATAAAGCGTTAAAAATAATACAAAATATTGATATTATATTATATAAAATTATATATTTTATTTGATTGTATATTTATAATTATAATAATTTGAAATCAGTGAAATATTACGGTTGATGAATTTCTAATTCATGTTGGTTTTTAAATAAAATATTTAAACAGTTTTATTATTTTGTGTACAACAATAACACATGCGGCGTTTTATGTAGGCAAATATGCTACACATATGTGTAGGTGTTTAAATTGAACATTGTCACAANAGGCAAATATGCTACACATATGTGTAGGTGTTTAAATTGAACATTGTCACAAAGGAACTGTTTAAGTCATTTTAACAGAAGTTTTTTTTCTAAAAATAATAAGATCTTTCTCAGAAAAAAAATGAATACATTGTAAAGGGAAAAGTTATAAGCGGCTAAAGCCATCTAATAAGCGCTTTTGTAATTTTTAAGGGAAAATTCCTCCATAAAAGATCAAACGATAGAGAGCGCGCAAGTCAAGTAGAAGAGCCGGAGACAAAAATAATATTGTATGTAATAATACAACTGTAACAAGCTAGACATTATTTCCGTAATAAATTTAAGAAACACTCGTGCATGTGACACATGTGCTATTGATATGGTCACCATCAGTTCTTATCAGTTTGACTTTATCGCGATTCGTTAATCAATAAATCAAGAACAATTCAAAATGAAATCAACAAACAAAAAAATATATTTTTTTTTAAATTATGTGTTATTCTTTAATCGATTACATTAAGATTATTTCATTATATTAAGTAATTAGATGAGCTATGTATCATTTAACGTATAAAAATAACTATTCATTTTTACCATTAAAAATAACCTTAAGAGATACGTTACATTTTAATCCAAGTTTGGAACAGTGACCCAGAGTTAAGGAAAATTGTAACAATTTTTTTTTTTAATTAAAATATTACTATAGTTTAATTTATTAATTATACAATAATTGTGATATTATTTAATATGTATTAGATTTTTTTTACTAAATGACCAATAATGGTATTAAACAAATATACATAATTCACTGACTAAGATAACTTTAGGGGACAGGCTACACCCCTCGGTACATATATTTAAGCTTTTGTGTATATTTTAGTTATGAACTTTGTTTGTTGAATAAACATTGTTTTGTGTTATATACACTAAATCCTAGATTTTAAGTAAATTGCCTTTTTCCCTATAAAATATCAATTTTAATTAAGTTAGGTAAATAAGAGAACCATTGTTGATATTAAAAGCTGGCCTATACTATCGAACAAATCATAATCGTTAAATATAACTTCTATAATCATCGTTCGGTAATACTCAAATCCATAAAAAGTTTTTTACTATAGCTAGAACATTATAGTATATAATTATATTATTGGTAATTCTGGTCAACAAAAATGTCTCTTGTCTGATATTTTAATACTGAATTCTAATTAATTGTAGATAATGTTGTAAATTTTTCTCGATATTATGATTGGATAAATTTTTATTTAAAAGCTTTAAATTTACTATTTTCTTTATTTAATCATCTTTAAATTAAATTTTAAAATTTTTTTCTAAATTGTGAATAACTTTCAAATCTATATCATTAGAAATTTCTTGGTCTCTTTTTGCTCAAGTGTAAAAATGTAAATAAATTAAAAATAATCATAACCCGTATCTCACCAAAAGTCTATTGTTTGTATATATTTTAAAATGATAACAATTTTCGAAGTATTAATAACAAAATACGAAATTTGGTTTAAGCATTTTCTAAATTTGATTATTTTCTGTTTTATAAGCTAGTTAAATATCTATGTATTAATAAAAAAAAATAGATGACACCTTTATAGAGTACAAAAGATGGACCAAAAAAGTACTTGAAGCTAAAAAAGCCAAACAAATATTCTCGATGTTACTTTATTTTGTCAGTAATTGAATAAGTTGGGATAGACAAATCACATGTAATATAGAAACTACACAATAAGTTTATTTAGTTGTATTTTCTATTTTACAAAAAGTAACACGAAAAAAAAAAAAAAATATGACAAAGTAATGTTATTATGAAGTTTATTGAACGTAATTCGTCTATCCCAGTTCACTGAATTACTTACAAAAAAATAGTAATATCTTTATTTATAGCATATTTTCTATTAAATATCAATAAATATAACTATCACGGTAAAACTTGAATAAAATATAAGGCATTGTGAATTCTTTTTAAAAATAGAGGTTCTGAATTTTAATAAGTTGCCCTAATTTTGTCAGTGGAATCTATTTTAAATAACTGTTTTTGTATATAAATCTATAGAGCTTTATTAGTCAAAATTATATATAATTTTATATATATATATATATATATATATATATATATATATTAATAGAGAAAAAAATACGACAAACGATAGACTCCCACACAAACGTGATGTAAATTTCTCAGTTATGAAAATATTAATGTTTTCGAAAAGTCTGCAAAAAGAGGTCAAATTATACCAAGTTTGATTTCTGATCACTGATATTTTTTCTGTCAAATAAATTAATACTTAAATATTTTTGGCATTGATAGATTATACTAACACCATTTATTAAAAATATGCTTTATTGTAAAACTGCCTTATTAAAGCAAAAGTCAGTTATTGCGTTTCGACAGAATCCACTGAATTATTAGTTTGATTTTAATTTAATTTGAACATTTTTTGAGAAAATTTAATTGAAATTTTAATAAAATGCTATTTAATAGTAAAAATTAAATAAATTATGNTAAGAAATTGTTTATCAGTTATTATTGCTTCATGTAAAATGGAAATAAGATAAAAGAAATTTACTTGAAAATCTTAACCTTTTAAAATATTTATTATCTATCACAAATACTATATTGATTCATATTTTTGTCTTTGTAACTTATAAAATATAATTTAAAATGTAAAAACGTCATTCTTATTAGCCTGTGAATTTAATTAAATATTTAAATATTAAATTGATCGTAGGAGGAACAATAATTATACATAGTAACACGGCCGCTTGGGATTGACGGCCGGTCATAGATAGTGTACCGGAAATCATGTGAAAAAAGAGGCATGGTGCGAGATTAAAACCCTTGACCCAGAGAAAATCCTAACCACTAAGCCACCGTGCACTTATGATTCAGATCCAATACACTTTCTTATAGGACGATAACGTGATGTGAGGCTGAAGAAAACATGGCACCGTATCAATAAGTATGGAAAAATATACCATCTACTTATATTTAAAAAAACATACTGTCGAAATGATTTTTTCATAATATTTTAGTAATATACTTTTTACATATTACAAGAATGTAATAATTGCTGCTAAAGTTTATTCTAAAAATATGTTCAAAAATTGATGAAAAATATAAGTTTAATATTTTTAAACATTTATCTAAATATACTCGTCACTATTATAATAATTGGAATAACAATAGAATGTTCTGCTTGTGTCCACAATAATGGTCTTTCTTTTAATTTAAGATAATCAACACTTCAATATATAAATCATATTCATATTCTTAGTATAACATGATTATTATAAAACAAACAATTTAAATAACTAACTCGGAGAATTATTTAACAAAGGCATAGTGTTGCTTAATTATATTTTATTATACACGATTCAGTCATAAGTCAATTATTGGTCACCTTTTTCCGAGAAGAAATTTATAAATTATATTTGTCAGCTCTTTTTACTCTTATCTTAATAACAAACATAAATGTAAATCTAATGTATACCACATTAATCTTAAATGTAAAAACAGATTATATTAACGTTGTATAAAATATTTGTTTAATATATCAATATGATTTGTATATTATTCACATATATTAATTTAAATATTTTATGCTATTTTATACATTAACTTATATGTTTTGCGATTACTTATCGATAAACAATAACATTGCAAGAATGAGACAATAATGATTTTCGGCGATACAAAATATTATGAAAAACAGAGCAATTCGTCACAGTTTTGCCTGTTCTAATTGCGCTTTAAACTTCATCATATCAAATTTGTGATTATGATTGTCAAAATTCTTATGTGTTAATTTGTGAACTGAAAGTAAAATTTGTATTACTTTGTTTATCAACTATGTATTAATAGTTACTGAAGTAATTCTAAGAACAATTATCAGGTAAGATTTCAAATCAATAAGAGTTAATACTATTTTTTGACCCTCAAATCACACCACGAATTGAAGTAACTCTCGCCGTTTATACAACTCACCTTCTTTTTATTCTATTTTGAGTTACAATACATTTATTAACACTAGTTAAAAAAATATTTGTATACTACTGCACAATTTAACTTCAATTTTTCTATTAAAATTTTATGTATATTTCTTACTTTAGAGATACATGAGTTTAAATAATTACTTGTCATCAAAAGCTTAAAGTTATTAATTGCAATTACTAAATAATTAATTAACGGCGAAGTAATGGAGTTTAAATTGACTTTAGTACTCGGTTTTTGAATATGCACAACAGATATTACCATTAGAGTAGTTCAACTTAGATCACTGTTTGGGTGGTTGTAGGGCTGAGTTTGATGATTTGCCATGTTTCTTCATTATCTCCCGGAGTAATAACAAGTTACATGAGATTCTTCATTAACGCGGCCACCGGATCAATGAATTCCCCGAATTCGATGTTTAGTCAGCATAAAACTAATCTCATAAAATCACAACTCCTGATATTAATTATGGACGAAAAAAACTTTAATAACAGTATAGAAAAAATGGCATTAAACTATGTTCGGACAAAAACTCCAATGTCAAACCTACTCAAAATTATAATTCCTTAAAACAATGCTCGAGAAATAGAAGTTCAATTGAGGTTATTATGCCCCAAATAATATTAATTTACAACCCTTATCTTTTTTAGTAATTGTATTGAAATTGAGAAGTTTCGAGCTGAATATAATAATAATAATTGTCTTAATTACCTGGCGACTTCAAGCCATCACATTAATAATTTTAGAACAAAAATATTATATATAGATATACGAATTTTAAATTCTTATGACTCTTAAAAAATGTAATTTTATTTGAACTAGTTCTATTAAACAAAATTTTGTAAGATATTATGAATTTATTTATGTTTTACTAAAAATATTTTTCATATTGAACATTTTATTATTGATAGCAAAATGTTTATGTAGTAAAAATATGTTTTTATTTAATTTAATATAATTTCATTAAATTACAACATTTTACTAAATGAACAAAAATGAAATAAATTTAAATTTATAACAAATTTGATGATTAAAAATCATAAAGAGTGTTTTAATAAATGAAGATTTATAAATTTTATTGAGTTTATCGATACAAATAAAAGTATCCAATAGACTAGCTAACTAAACTGACCTAATAATGTATTAGTTGACTGGTATGCTAATGAATGTATCTAATACTTATGTGAATAAGATTTTCGACTTAAATAAGACATTTTGATTAGACATGTATTGTAAGCTTTAACAACCTAAAACAAACCTGTTATTTTAAAGTAATTTCCAGATCCACGTTTTAATTAAAAATAGCTTTGTATACTGCCAAGTTCATTTATACTACTAAATGTTAAAATATCTTTTTAGAACCATTCTAAAAGAAATAGTTATATAATCACATTGTAAAGACATATTAAAAATATAGATTAACAATTAAAAAGCATCAATAAATTTCATAGTGAATTTTACTTAAGAAACTAATTTTGTTTTTATTGAAGTCTTTGTATTACTGGAGATACAGTAATTTGCAATTCATAAAATAGACAATAAAATATAAAAATCACTTCAAGTAATAAAATATGATAGTTATTTATTATTATATTACTATTTTTGTAATAGTATAATACGTATTATGTATTTATTATAGGAAAAAATAAATAATTAATTTGTATCTATATCATTCATTATTATTTATTATATCTTAGTTGAATAACGACTCAATCATCATTTAATTAAAAGTTTTAATCAACCTCCGCGGACCTTTTTATAATCTATTGCTGTAAAACTTCTTTACTTTTCCTAATAGATGTTCAATTTCTACTGTAAAAATATCAAATATTCTGAAGAATAACTTACTTGATATCCAAGTGCCATTAAATGGTGGTGCTTTGAATGTGTCCCCAATAATCTGATCAATTGTAAATTTACTTCCAAGATTTCTAGGACCTTGGTAAGGTGGTGATAATAAGACTATGAAAAATACAATTAAACCCAATACAGCTACTATAACCAATAGCGCTATAAGTATTCCTCGCCAATTTCTTTCGTTAGGAGTAATTACTACCAATTCCTAAAACAAACAATTTTTTTTTATTAGACCAAATATATAACTCTAATTATTTTATATGTAATATAGGAATCCGCAAGATACAGTGTGTAGTTCTAAAGTTAGATGTGAACTATAAGCAGATTACAATCAGTAATAACTAATATTCATGAATTTAATTCCTTTCATAAATTGTTAAATTTTATCCACTACTATTTCATTATGATATAAATTCAAGTTCAAATTTATATTACTCTACGTTTTTTTAATTCATAAATTACACGTTATGCATTCTGTGAATAATTGAATTTATAAATTAATATTTCATTAGTACAGACTAGTAATTTCTTTTTAACTTCTATATGAAAACTAAGTTATTTATGATAAGTAATCCTAATTCGTCGAGTGATATTCAAATACCAACCACGAGTTACTACCTAAACTTAAAAGTCAATTACATTAGAACAAAAGTTAACAAAACAGTTTTACTTTTCAATCTGCCTAAAAGGCGACTTTTTTGTTACTTGATCCATTTATTTTGTCGATCTCAAAAATAACACTTGAATAAGTCGAACTTAGTTGTATCTCGTTGATGCTCATTACACTTTATTCAAATAAGATACACATGGGAACATGGTTAAATGATTTCATGTTGTGAACCGCTCATGAATACTTACGATATCATCAGGTATGGTCGTATAAACTGTATTTAATTAAATTGATGATAGAGTACAGAATTATTTTGTGACAGAACTCAAAAGCAGTTACCATATTTTATACATAATCCTGTACAGCCACATATCCAAAGGTATATTAAACTTCAACACTACGCTATAATACAAATGAATCGATTAAACGTATGCCCTATTTACATAAAATGAATTTCTGGTTTGGCCAATGACATAATATATTTGCTTAATATAATTAACAGCCCAGAATTGCGAATAACCCAACTACAAAGATTAAATATGTAATTTTTTTTCATCATTCGTTTTAACACAATTTTTGAAATCATTTTTTAGGAAGCTTAATAATTTAAATAATCCCGAGAAATCTTTATTCCAAAGTCAATTATGTAAACTTAAAAGATCTCTTTAAAATCTTATAAATAAACACATTAAATATAAATTAAATAATTTGCAATAAAAAGAACACACAGATTTTTTTGGAAAAAAAAAATTGAAAATTAATCTAATCTTTTTTTTCTGGAAACTCAATTTCCTAATTTCTGGAATTATATATATTACGAAAATATTTAGTGAAAAGTTCTAATATGGTTAGTATTATAGACACATTAAAATATATTATTAGTGTCTTATAATTTAAGTGTGGTTTTATTTATACATTATATTACATCAAGTTTTGCAGTTTAATTTAAATACAATAAAGTTTATTAAGTTTGAAATATTTGCTAAAACTTCATTTTAAGTCTCCTAAATTCTCATCCTTCCGTCCAGTTTTTAATTTATTTTTTTCAAATCGCCTGCAGTGATCAGTGTAAAGAACATTATGTGGCTTTCTCTCAAATAAAGGATGGACAATTTTCCCAAGGTCATTCATTTTTTAAGGTTTTTAATTTATTGTCTTTGGATTATATTATCTTAAAGAAATTTCATACTATTTACTAAAGGTTAACGAAAATTTTAAAAATGCCTGCTCAGACATCCAATTACTGTGCAAACTTACATATCAAATACATATTATTAACTCGTGAAATGCACACATCAAAATGCAAATAAATTACAAATAATATAATAAAAAATAGTTACATTATTCAAATAATATTTAATTAAATTCGTGAAGAGAGAGTCTTAATTAGGGTTGGGTTTTTGACAAATCAAAACCTTTCGCAATTATTTGACTATATTTTGACGTGTCAAATGGTCAAAAAAATAGTTAATTTTTTTTATTTAAAATTTAGTAATTTTCATTATCTTGTAATGTTAAGTAAGATTTAAAAAAAACCCAGCACAGGGGAGTCGCGGCACAGTGGTGACGTGGCATAGTTGGATCAAGTATAATGATATCTGACAGTGATTAAAATCACTATCAAAAAAAACGCTTCGATGCAAATCTTTAGATAGTGTTTAATTTTAAAAAGTTGGTGGATTATTCCAAAAGCTACATGATCTGATATTTCCTTATTTATATCCTGATTAAGATAAAGTATGTCGAATGAAAAAGGGATATAAATATTATTTTTCATAAAAAATTGTGTTGATCCATACACTTTTCAAGAAGTTGTGGCATAAAAGTAAAATACATTCTCAGCTTTGCATTGAAGCTATAATGTAAAATATAAAATCGAGAATTTTTACATAAAAAAAAACATTCGGTAGCCATTTTAATCACGAAAACAAAATAAAGTCCGAAATTTTTTTTTTTCCATAATAAAGAACATTACATTAGTTTTAATTTAAGATATATATAAAAGTGTCAGACTTTCTGGAACAATTTCAAAAGTTAAGTTGAAAAAGTTAATTTTTTGTGAAAAAGTTGTCATTTTAAATCCCTCCCTGTAGGCAGGTTAAGTGTCAGATTTACAAAAAAATATACCAAATGATAAGTAAAGATATCAAGCATCTATAAATAAAAAAAATTAAGTGATCCATACATTTTCCAAAAAGTTATACCATTATTAAGTTAAAAAAAACCCAGCACAGGGGGGTCGCGGCACAGTTGTGACGTGGTATAGTTGGATCAAGTATAATGATATCTGACAGTGATTAAAATCACTATCAAAAATAAACGCTTCGATGCAAATCTTTAGATAGTGTTTAATTTTAAAAAAATTGGTGTTTTATTCCAAAAGCTACTTGATCTGCTGGTTCCTTA